ATCCGATAATTATCCATTTTTACAAGATTTACAGCAACCTAGTGGAAAAAGGAGAACTCTTGACCTCATCTATATTTGTCCAGTTCTGATGTTTATTTGCAAGAAAAGAAAAATCTAAGTTAATTAATTGTAATCTGCTTCCTAGTTTATATAATTCTATTACTATGATCTCTATTTCATAAGGCAGAGTACCCATAACAACTCGCAAAATCACTGCTCATCCTTTTATCTTAAACCTCTACAGATAATTTAACAGTTAAGGGGTAACACTTTTTGATCAATAACACCATGTGCATAGTTCCGTGTTTAGGTTCTCAAAACTCTCAAAAGTCCTTCTTTTAATGTGTGAGAGAGGTATATACTACACAGCTTGTAGGTGGAATGAATAACAAACAAAGCAACTACAGTGACATGATTGCATATAATAAATGGTCAAGAGTGTGTGGACACTTGACCATCACACCTATATACACTTGTCTTTGTAAGCAGCAACATGAACAGTACCCTACACAGGAAACCCCTGAAATCAATAGTTTGGAGAGATATCTACATACTTTGGTCCTATATATATCTAGGAAGGAAACGTTTCCCTATGGACAGTGGCAAGCCCAGATGTGACAGGAAAAGTTTTGGACATTTGGTCCAGTGCCATTAAATCCACCCAACAACCAAAAGCCACATCTCCCAGATGTACAGATTTGAAATATTGTGCACTTTCTGATTGACCCTGGGTCTTAAACATTGGACCAGTCAGCAAAAAAAAGAAAGACCCACCAGATGGACCAACTGTCAAGGCTTCCAGATGGTAATGCCAAAATTCCCATCTAGCAGCCTTGACAGAAGGTCCATAAGAATTAGGAGCTCACTGGATTTCTGTCAGGATCAAGAGGTATCTTTTTGCTTATTGAACAGATGCTGTAAAACAAACTCTTTCAACAGTATATGTAACAGTTCAAAAGGGACTAAATAAGGGTAGTTGATTGTCAGGGTTACATACACTTTAAGGGACAATAATTTCCTAGATGTCTCCTGCATTAATACTGAGTCGCATGGAACAAGCAAGCAACAAGTGGCTTCAGAACTCCCTATCTAAACATGTGTAATGATCAGAAAATAGACAAAGGATCAGTATGACAGTCAGCCAAATAGTATCCTCACAGGAAAACTATGAATGACAGCACCAGTATAAATCTTATGACACATTGGTAAGATCAGCACCGAGCTTACCACTAAGCAAGGTGTCAGATGATGAAACAAGAGCAAGAATCAACAGGAACAGGAGTAGTCTTGCTGAAGAAACAGCTACGGGGTTATTCACAAAAGGTGAAAAGTTTGGAGAAAGCAGGAGAAGTAAAGAAAATATTTTCCAAATCAGCTCACTTTCCAGTTCAGCTATGTTGTCCTAGATTGTTCACTTCTCCTGCCTTCTCCAAACTCTTCACACTTTTGTGAATAGCCCTGCTAGAGTCGTGAAACTGATATAGCAAGACCAGGATTTTCCAAATATTAATTCAGCTTTCCTTTACACAACAGACACGCAGAGGATAACAGTGACAACTACCAAAAAAAGGCAAACCTTTCTATATTCTTCTATAAGCGGAACTTCCAGAAAGGTTGATGTGACAATATCAGTAACTGCAACTTTTGGCAGAAAACACATTAACTTCCTGCAAAGAACACTGGGATTCAATCGGCCACCTACTTCACAAATCTGTAACAAACAGCACCAGATAGGCTATGGCCCGGAACCCCTCAAGACAAGAGTAAAAAAGTACAGCTTAGAAATACCTGAAATCAAGATCTTGAGGCAGATGTCAGAAGACTGAGATACACTTGGAGCAAACAATCACAAAGAGCTCTGGAGATTCCTGGTCTGGAGGTATTAAAATACATAAATAAGAAATCCCCAGAAACAGATTAAGTAAGTAATCTAGCTCAGAAATATAGGCTAAGGGAGTTTCTCATGGACTAGCAACTGTACACAGTGTTCTAAACTTATCCCATATGCACATAGATCTACACTATAAAGTATTGGGACACCCCTCCAAATCACTGGATTCAGGTGTTCTAATCACCTCCATGGCTACAGGTGTATAAAATCAAGCACCTAGGCATGCAGACGCTTCTACAAACATTTGTGAAAGAATGGGTCGCTCTCAGGAGCTCAGTGAATTGAAAGCGTGGTACCGTGATAGGTTGCCACCTGTGCAATAAGTCCACCCGTGAAATTTCCTTGCTACTAAATATTCCACGGTCAACAGTTAGTGGTATTATAACAAAGTGGAAGCAATTGGGAACAACAGCAACTCAGCTGAAACGCACAGTAAGCAGAAGTTGCCAACTGTCTGCAGAGTCAATAGCTACAGACCTCCAAACTTTGTGTGGCGTTCAGATTGGCTCAACAACAGTGCGTAGAGAGCTTCATGGAATGGGTTTCCATGGCCAGGCAGCTGCATCCAAGCCTTACATCACTAAGTGCAATACAAAGCATCGGATGCCGTGGTGTAAAGCACATAGTTACATAGTGTCAGGTTGAAAAAAGTTCACAAGTCCATCGAGTTCAACCTATAGAGATACGGAGAGGAAAAAAATGAAAAGCCTAAACAGAATGCTATGCGCCCACAATTACCCTCTGTTGATCCAGAGGAAGGCAAAAAACCCCATGGCATGGTTCAATTTGGCATGGTTCAATTTGCTCCGACAGGGGAAAACAATTCCTTCCTGATCCCATAAGGCAATTGGATATTCCCTGGATCAACAATCTCTGATGCTTAATATACCTATAAGAACTCAATATCCAGTAATATTCTGTGCATTTAGGAATACATCCAGATGTTTTTTAAAACAATTAACTGAGCTAGCTAGAACTAGCTCCTGGGGGAGTCTATTCCACATTTTTACAGCTCTAACTGTGAAGAATCCTTTCTGTATGCAAAGGTTAAACCTCTTTTCCTCCATACGCAAAGAGTGCCCCCTTGTCCTTTGCAGTGACCTTAACGTGAATAATTTGGCACCAAGTTCTTTATATGGACCATTTATGTATTTATACATGGTGATCATGTCCCCCCCTTAATTGCCTCTTCTCCAGAGAGAACAAATTCAGGTCAGCAAATCGTTCCTCATAGCTGAGCTCCTTCATGCCTCTTATGAGTTTGGTCGCCCTTCGCTGCACTTTCTCCAGTTCCACAACATCCTTTTTGTGAACTGGTGCCCAAAACTGAACTGCATATTCCAGATGAGGTCTTACTAATGCTTTGTACAGGGGCAGGATTATGTCTCTATCTCTGGAGTCTATACCCCTCTTAATACAAGAAAATATTTTGCTTGCTTTAGAAACTGCTGCTTGACATTGCATGCTATTATTCAGTCTATGATCTACCAGAACACTCAGATCTTTCTCCATCAGTGACTCCCCCAAACATACTCCCCCTAGAGTGTATGAAGCATGCATGTTTTTAGTCCCCAAGTGCAGAACTTTACATTTATCAACATTAAACCTCATTTGCCAAATAGATGCACAAATACACAGAGCATTCAGATCTGCCTGTAAGTTGGAGACATCCTGTAAGGACTGTATTCCACTACATAACTTGGTGTCATCTGCAAACACAGAAATAGTACTTTTAATCCCCAATTCTATGTAATTTATAAATAGGTTAAACAGTAAGGGGCCCAACACTGAACCTTGGGGGGCACCACCAATAACCTCAGACCATTCACAGTATGAATCATTGATCACCACTCTCTGAATACGGTCTTTAAGCCAGTTTTCTACCCAGTTACAGATGGAATACTCTATACCTACTGACCTTAACTTATACATTAGCCGCATGTGGAGAACTGTGTCAAACGCTTTTGCAAAGTCCAAGTATACTATATCCACAGGCATTCCTCTGTCCAATTTATTACTCACTTCCTCATAAAAAGAAAGTAGGACGCCGCCACTGGACTCTAGAGAAGTAGAGACGTGTTCTCTGGAGTGACGAATCACACTTCTCTGTCTGGCAATCTGATGGACGTGTCTGGGTTTGGTGGTTGCCAGGAGAGCGGTACTTGCCTGACTGCATTGTGCCAAGTGTAAAGTTTGGTGAAGGGGGGATTATGGTGTGGGGTTGTTTTTCAGGGGTTGGGCTTGGCCCCTTGGTTCCAGTGAAGGGAACTCTTAAGGCATCAGCATACCAAGACAATTTGGACAATTTCATGATCCCAACTTTGTGGGAACAGTTTGGGGATGGCCCCTTCCTGTTCCAACATGACTGCGCACAGGCATGCTGTGTACAGGCAGGTGCCCCAATACTTTAGGAAATATAGTGTATATCCCATATATAAACTGAAGCACTAGGATGTAGGAGCTTCCACACTAGGGGCAATGGGATCCTATCAATAAAAGCCAACGATATGTCACCCAATGGGTGTGAAGATACATACTGGATGTATTGGTGTCAAGAATCGCATTTGGGTCACCTGCTGCATTGTGAATCAAATAATAAAAAAACAAAGCAATACTGAAAAGAACTGGAGCTTTGTAATGCTCTTTTGTCCATCTGTTACTGGTTTACTCTACTTTTGTCTTTGACAGGTTCTAATCTCATTGCTTAGAATTCGTATACATGTGTTTCTGTGGACATAAAGACGCACACTACCTGTAGTGAACAGTTGATCATCAATCATCATGGCCTGTTTGGGGAAACACAGCAAACTACAGGATGGAAATGGAAAGGGTGTGCATTGCTAAACACAGAAAATTACTAAAAATAAAAACACACCATAAAGACAGTACTCCAAGGGTAAAGTTAGTTTTTGGATATGAATGCTGCATGCCTTCTCTCTCAGTTCTGTCTTAAGATGTCTCCATGAACAGACCTATTTATTCAGTAAGTGCTAATTTAAAATGAATAGAGCTGCGCTGTGCAGTCTTTCACAAGTTTGGGCTTGTCGAATGGTCACATTAATGAATATTGGAATCTGAAAGGGTGACACTGCGGGGTTAGCATTCATCACAAATCTTTTTATGTATTAAACCGATCTGACTGTGCTTGCACCTGCAAACATACATTTATAATCACAGAAATATGTACGTGTGCACAGATAGTGTGTGGGGTTTTTAATCTCATGCATTTGTAAAGAGCTGAAAGGTTATGCACTACTTATCAGAGTACACAGAACTGTTCACATCTACAGTAGTAAGGTGCTTGCAATCTAACATCCCTACCATGGTTATATACACACAGATTAGCCACATTTTAATGGAAGCCAGTTAGCCTAGTGGTATATTTTGGTTTCTGGTAGGGAAATAAAACAAGAAGACAAATCTATGGACTCAAAGGCAGAATATATTCCTAGTAGAAACTATACTGAGGACCCTGACACCATAGTATAAACATGCTTAGTGCTTAGCCCACATGCTGGCTCTAAACACTATGCACATACCTGTTGGAAACTGAACTGTAGACCCGAAACCATAATACACATGTGCTTCGCATTTAGCCCACACGCTACTTCTGACTATATCCCTGATAGAAATCAAACTTGGGATACCATAGTACACACTTGTTCATGGATTAGTCCACATGCTGCTGCTGAACTTTGCGCACATCTTTGATTGAACTGAGGACCGTGGCACCATCATTTACATATGCTTAATGTTTAGCCCACATACTGCCTCTGGACATTGTACACATCCCTGGAGAAATTAAACTGGGGACCCTGACATCATAATATACATGTGCTTAATGCTTAGCCCACATACTGCCTCTGGACATTGTACACATCCCTGGAGAAATTAAACTGGGGACCCTGACATCATAATATACATTGTACACATCCCTGGAGAAATTGAACTGAGGACCGTGGCACCATCATTTACATATGCTTAATGTTTAGCCCACATACTGCCTCTGGACATTGTACACATCCCTGGAGAAATTAAACTGGGGACCCTGACATCATAATATACATGTGCTTAATGCTTAGCCCACATACTGCCTCTGGACATTGTACACATCCCTGGAGAAATTAAACTGGGGACCCTGACTCTTGCACCAAAATATACATGTGCTTAATGCTTAGCCCACATACTGCCTCTGAACTCTATACACATTCTTGGTGGAAACTGAACGGAGGACCCCGACACACAGTACACAAGCACTAACCATTTAGCTAACATGCTGCCTCAGCACACAAAGCAATGGATAATAATATGCCAAAGAAAATGATTATATAATAGTCAATACATCTGTGATAGACATAAATGGCCTCTACACAAAAATGTGTGCAGCTAAGGTCAAATGTATTAAAGTTTATACACTGTGCTCCTGTTTTAGGCACAAATTTTAGGATTAAAAGTAAGCGCTGCTATGTGAAATGCATTAAGGCCTACTACAGACAATTTGCTGCCTTCTTGGTAATGTTTCAGATAAAAGCTTATAGTTTTCTGGCATTGGCTGTGAATGGATCAGTTCTTAATTATGGCTGGAGACTGAGAGGTCTGTGTTGGGTGCTAGAGGGTGTGCGTTGAGCTTCCCTGTGTTTTTTCTTTGCATAGGTCTTACAGATTTTAGTAGACTGGCATGTACTGTATTGTCTTGTTTACTAGTATATCAGTGGAGAAATCTCCTGGCTAGACCGCTTGCTAAAATCTGGATATTCTATAAGCCATTGTCCACCCAGACTTAGCTTACCTGTGTACTATCATCACAACCTTCATATCGTCTTGAGTGCCACCAATCCTATTTAAAATTACTAGCATTCAGTTAGGACACTAACTGAAGTCAATACCATATGTCTGCCACTGGAGTATACTGTATATGGCAGTTTTCTCAGAAATCCTAATCCGTGTAGTACATCCCATGCTGATGTAGACTGTGACTGCAGAGCAAAATTACTGCATATTCATCCAGTAAGCCCCAACTGAATGGTTTAGAATGGGGTTGTTCAATTTGTTTTCCTAGCTAAGTGACTGATCTAAATGTCATAAACTGGACTACTTACAATCCATTTTTTTTATGCATTTTAATTTTTATCCTTAATGGCAAACAAGTTGTCAAAAGTGAAAAATAGACATACACAGATAAGCACACAGGTACCTATTTTAGTAAATCCATGTATTAGTCTACATATTCATATACAATACTCTACATATTGTAAGAATTAGCTTCAAATGGTAGCACATTAAGGACACTTCCAACACTTCTTTTTTAGGGTTTCTTTGCCCGCTCTTATTGACTCAAACTCAAAAGACTACACAGGTTCTCCCTCGCAGAGGTATTCAAACATATAGTAAAGCTTTTTCCTTCAGCAAAATTAACATTTTTAAAGTCTACCCGACTTCAGGTTGTTCCTTTAACAAAAGCCTTTCCCACACAGGTTGTATCCAACACGTTTGCCACACAGGCTGTTTTCTTGTCCTCTTTGTCACACAGGCTTGTCTTTTGCCACACAGGCTGTCTTTCACCACACAGGTGATCCCCTCCCCAGTCCGCCAGACACACAGCCTGGTTCCAGGGTGGAGCTTTCTTAACCTCTTGCCGTCCGCCCGTTAAGAAAAAACGGACGGACGTCAGACATGCATCAGCGGGTTGCCGTGTCCAGACGGCATTTTTTCCCTGCTCACGTGCAGGAAAGACCCGCTCGTTTCTACAGCTGTTAACGGTTGCATGTTTCACATACAACCGATCAGCGGCTCTATAGCCGCCGATCGGTTGTATGGCGTGATTTTCGGAGCACCCCCCCCCTTCGCAAGTGCCACCACTCCGCCCTCCTGACCCCTCACCTTTAATCTCGGCATCCGCTAGCCCATCTGCGGCCCGGGACCGGCTCGGGAGGGCGTCAGGAGGAGGAGGGAGGGAGATCAGCTCCTTGCTGTTCTCCCTCTGTAGTGTGAATGCAGAAGTGATGTGTATTACATTACTTCCGCATTCCACCTGTCAGTCATCTGGCTCCTACTGCCAGAGAGAAGAAGCTGATGAAGCAAATCTGTGCTTCATCAGCTTCTTTTGGGGTCTCCAGGTGACATTAGGGGTCTAGAGACCCCTAATGTCTCCATAAAGAGGACCTGTCAGTGTACCTGTGCTATTATATAGGGGGATGGTATCCCCCTATATAATAGCAATAACAATAAGTGTAAAAAAAAAATCTATATAAATAAAAAAAGTTAAAAAAAATAAAAGTCACAAACAAAAAAAGTTTAAAAAAATAACAGGTCACAAATAAAAAAAAGTAACCCCCCCCCCAATGTTTAAGTCCCCCCACCTTCGTTTACGCACATTTAAACGTAAATATGCGTCGCATGCGCCAGCACGCGAAAATGACAATTGCGCTACACATGTTACATATCGCCGCGAACGTCGCAGTGAGAGCAATCATTTTAGGGCCATCAATCACTGATAACACTAAACTGATGAGCGGTAAAAGCTTTTAATGCGTCGCCTATGGCCAATTTTGGGTAATGTAGTTTTTTTGAGGTTTCGCGCGCGTGCACAATTTTAAGGCTTGACATGTTTGGTGTCCCTTTACCCGACAGCGCGCAACCATCACAAGACAAAAGTCTTGCGATGGTTGTAAGGTGTATGCCCAGCCTTAGGAGGCTGGGAGTTCTTGTAGAGGCCCTAACAAGCTAGCTAGCTTCAGCTGGGCTTGTTATCTCCAAAGCCTCCAGCACTCTCAGCACTTCCCCCTAGTGGACAACCTTCAGTATAACACCAGAATCTGGCATATACATCTATGCCACACTGGCTAGATCCAGGCGCTTTAATCTGCCTGCTGCCACAATATCTAGTGGAAACGTTATTAGCATATGAGAAAAGTAATGCCTTTTGTAGGTTTAATTTATTCACTTTTATATAATTTCCATTTAACTGTATTGATGCTTAACTACACACATCCTAAATGCTAAAATAATTCATATAAATTGAAATTTGTGACTTCTTTAATAATCCGTTAATAGACCTCTTGCACCATCTAGTGGTAATTTATCATAACTACATCTTACATAATCTGGATTCCTCATATCTGCTGGTAAACAAGAATTTTGTTTATTTTACTAAACTTTATATTTTACTTTTTGTATACAATATTATGGGAATCTTATTTGGTCACATGACATCACAGGTCCTCCTCCTTTGGCAGTGAGGGGGTCCTGAATGCTACAGGGAATGGCGTTTTGGTACCAATCTCTGCAGCATTTTCTGTTATATAACACACATTAGATACCCAATTGTTTGTAAAAGGTCAGCGTTTGGCCTTCAGGTGATAACCAGTCCACAAGAGTGCACTTCTGCCTTTTTACCCCATATTTTCTATGTTTTATCTAAGCTAAGGAGTACAAGGGTCCTAGTCATGTCAAAATTATAGATATACATTATTTTGTTTATATTTTAACTGCTTATAACTGCTTACTCACATATTTCTACAGTAATTAGATTTTGTTATGCATTTAAGACATACTAACCGAATTATGTATGGTTCTTGGGAGTCTGGACGCAGATGGATGGCACGGGTTATATCCTTTAAAGCATTACGCAAATCTTTATGCTGTGGATTATAACATGAGCACATCATAACCATGCAATAAATAACACATTACGTAGTATTTTTTTTAATGCAGAACTCCAGATGAAATAATAAGATAAAAATGAATAGCACATCAAAAGTTAAAATGTAAAAAAAAACGTTTTGCTATAATATTCAGCTTTAATTCAGAGACTCCACAGTACTTTTTTCTGCCATTAGATGTCCTCAGTATGATGGCCAGCATCATTCCATCCATTTCCTCTAGGCCCAGGTCCTCTTGGGCCCTGCTACAGCCTGTAGCTGAAAGAGAAGAAGCCCAGTGATGTCCTCTCTTCATATCAAGAGGTTGATACCAGGTCAAATGTAGATACTTACACTGCTTGCATTTAATGATGTATTAATGACTAAAGAAGTGAGTTCATTATGCTGGAGTTCAGCTTTAAGTAATATTCAGCAATATATTTTTGTATTATTGTAAAAAGGTATTACTGTCTCAAGTATCATGTTGAAAGAGATCTCTGGATACATTTCTATTTGTGGAAATTAAATTGATCTCTTGCAGTACAAAACAGGGTTAGGTACAAAGTAAAAAAAATGAAATATAACAGGTACCTGTCTGTAAGCTTGTGCCCTGCATAGATATGCTCTAATACAGAGAGGATCAATGTTTATAGCGGAAGAGAAGTGATGGACCGCTTGGGAAAATTGCCCTTGATGCAAAAGACAGATCAGACCTAGATTCACATGTGCCACAGCCACAGTCCTGAGAAAAAACAGTAAAAGTATCAGAAACAGTATAACACAAGGCCAGAACTATGCTACCATGTAAAAAAAGTTACCAATACAGGACAAAACTTTGTCATTGTCCAGAAAATAGATCCACACTCACCTGCATAGCCACCACTTGTGACAGGTATATAAGTGGTCTATCATGCCATGGGATTTGTCTGACAAAAGGATGTGGTTGATAATGCATTTCATATGCATTATCAATCACATCCTTCCCTCTTTTCATTAAGTAGAAGGGATTAGACTATTACTCTGATATTTTGCAAAAAGTAGGAAAAACATTTGTGAGTGATAAGAAGTGTTGCTGATGTCCAAGACACTTTGGTATCCCTAAAGCCTAATATTGGGTATTTTCTTGTGCCTTCACTTAACCTTAGACCCCCCCTTATTATATAAATTCCTTGAGTTAGCCCCATAAATACAAATCATAGGGGTTGAATAAGAGGGTCTTTACACAAGCACTGTGCAGAATATAAATACAACAACCTTTATTACATAATTTATATAACAAGTAAAAACCTTCAAAATTGGTCTGTACATATTAAATAGACAAACACATGTAAAAACTACAGGGGTGTGGAAATGATTGAAAAAACTACTTGTCCAAGGACTAAAGCGGGGGCCGAATCTACTTGTCTCTCATGACAATCTACTTGTCCTGATACAAAAAAAATAATGTTAACCAAAACCGTATTTAGTAGTGCTAAGAAGCACTTCTCATTGGTCAGTGCCGTCAGGTGACTGCGTTGACCAATGAGTGCTTGCAATTTGCGAGCGAAATTCAGAATACATGGAACAGGTACAGATAGTACACCCGTACTGGTGGACGGGAAGGATCGGTCGCCGAAAGGTAAGTATAGTGGGAGGGAGATTTGTGCGGGTAATTCCATTTTCCCAAATTACTTAGGAAAGTGAATTTACCCTTTAGGGTTGGTGCAGACTTGGGGATTCCCAGGACGTGCGATCGTGTGTGGTTGCATACAGCGGTTGCATCCGCATGTATGGGGTTACATCTGCGTGGCAATCGCTGAAAAAAAGGTAGATGTACCTATTTTCACGACATGCACCGCGCAGTGTTTTCAACTGTGATCGTGTGGGATCGCCCGGGCGGTGTTGCAGCAGGAAAACGCGTAATCTGCCTGGCACGACTGGGGTGCCATTAGGAAATAATGGCACTGACAGCACGATCAGTGGTGGTGTGCGATTCCGTGACCACCCAGCCATCCGCTCGGTTTCATGCACGATGACCGGGCAGTCACGGATCGCACACTCCTGCCGATCGCGCTGGCAGTGCCATTATTTTCTAATGGCACCTCAGTCATGCCAGGCAGATTGTGCGTTCTCCTGCTGCAATACCGCCCTGCCCGAGCAGTTGCACACGAGTGCAGTTGAAAACACTGCGCGTTTATTCACATGCAGATGGGGGCAGCGGGGCTGGTTTTCATTTTTTAAATGTTTATTTACTTTGTAAACATTTTTCATGTTTTATTATTTTTACTTTTTTCATATGTTTTATTATTTTTACTTAATCGCCTTTTTATTTTTTACATTTTTATTTAGTTAAATTTTTAATTATTATTTTTTACTTTTTCACAATTTTTTTTAAAAACTTAACTGTATTGCTATCACACAGGGAATAATAATCCCCTGTGTGATAGCATTTGGAGGTGACAGTTACTCTTTATTGACCCTGTCACCTCCAACACAGGAGTTCTAGCACAGCACTGTACTAGAACTCCTGTGACGGGAACGAGCAGCGGCCGCCGGGGACAGAGGTTGAGGGAGGTGACAAAGCCTGTCACAGCTCCACCGTCCGTCTTTGTCACTGCTCTGTCAAGGCTCCAGTAGCAGGGCTAAAATAGTGAAAAAAACACTTGCCTGGCGCCCGGAATTACATGTCCCGGGCGTCGGGCGATACAAATTCCACCCCTGAACTATAGTGGAACCTCTCTCAACAAACAAATAGCATCTTTGTCTCGGCATGACTACTCATGTCTTCTCAAATATATCCATGCCATGGTAATGAAGGATGCACTCTTTTTCCAAACAGTTTTACTATGTTGCAGTATAATGTCTGAAAGTTAAACACATTTGTAACAACACAAAATTGTATCACCACTTATCAATTATTTGTGAGGCTAGACCGTTGTCCAGCACAACATTCAATGATGTTAGCATGCGACTCAGCATACATACCCCAGCAATACACTCATATGGTTATAATCCACAAAACTTCCTTGTAACTTCTCGCCATTCTTACAGTTTAAAGAGCAGGTCAACTTGGCTGTTGAATTGGAGGCAGGACTGGGCTATTTATGACCAACTTTCCAATATTTTGCTTTTAATTTGGTTTTGATTGATTTCTGACTTGGGCTGGCAAAAAGGGAGCCGTAAAGCATAGTCACTGTGCAGTGCTGCTAAGACATAAATACTTAAATAGAGCTGATTAGCATAAGAAATAAATAATTATTTTCTATGCACCTCAAAACCATCTAGTAGTCATAATGCAGTCTTTTCCTGACATTACAGTTGACTTAGAGAAAATATACTAATAATGTTTGTTGTTGCCTCCATTCGCAAGGAATGACCTTACATGGACAGGACATCAGGGTCCGCATTTTTTTAAATTTTATAAATACACCCTATAATGTACTTGTAATACAACAGACCAAAAAAGACCACAACATACCTATCCAAAGCCAGTACATGTTCAAAGTCAAATGCAGCCTCAGACCACAGTCCTAGGTCTGTGTATAGAATACCACGCTGAAGAAAAGCATTCAGATTTTCAAACTCATCAAAAAGAAGCACTGAAGGGAACAGAAAAAAAAATGCTGACATTGGGTAGAACAAATACAAACAACCAGTGTTCCTAAAGCATTATCAGTCACTTAAATTTGATATAAGTATAGGTGGCTCATACTGAGCATATAATGAGAAAGTGCATAAGAAGACGTTACTTTGGTGAAAAACGTATGTCTAATCAATCAGTAGCTCAGAAGATAAAAGCAAATGAATTTAGACACAAACTATGTTTTTCTATAAAAGATAAACTTAAACTTGTTAAATATATAATGATAAAAAGCCGCAAAAGTCCATTGCCCTGGGAAAATAACTGCAAGACTTTACATTTCATTTCCACCTTAGATAATATTTCTTACCTTTCTAGTTGTTTCTTTAAAGCAGGGCTATACATAGGACTATATTGGCAACTTCTATTGTTTTGAATAGTTGGCAATATGCAATTTGGGGACAGACAGAGGGACAGTTTTTTTTTGTTTTTTTTAAGCGTTGCCATACAATGAGATCTTTAACCCTTTGTTAAGACAGGCAGTGTTCACAACTAGCTCACAACTTTTAATGAGATCTGCAAGAACAGTACAGACAGAGATAATTATCGTAATTATGATTATCCAGTCCTCACCTTAACATTACATAGAATGAGAAAGCTAAAGTAAGATTTATCAGCAAGTAAAAAGATAAGCAGCAATTTTTTAATGTTTTTTTGTAAAGTGATGCAATGTGAACATGTAAAAAAAAACAAAGTAGGCGTTATTCTTATTTGGCTGCAGAAGTAGAAATACACTTTAATTCCTATGTATAGTTCACATCAATTTGGATAGTAAATAGATCAAAGGTAGGAAGGGTAACACATGGTTTAGCAGCCCCCAATGGATCAGGGTTATCCATACACCAAATAATGAGGGCAAAGCAGAGCAAAGGTGCTAAGACCTCATGCATTTAAAAAAAAAATAGTTCAAATATAAAAAAAAGAAACAAATTGCACTCAGATTAGAATGGTGGGAGCAGCCTTGGGGTGATATAGTAATGGCCAACAGTCCATGACCAATGGCATGGATTACAGTCATATTTCCTGGCTGTGACTATCCTCCAGTAAGAGTATTGAGCAAGTGTCTGGTTCTTGCAAAGAGAACACAAAGACAGCACCTGAACCTGGTGTAATAATATTTATTAAAGAAATATTAGTATCCAAACATCAAACTACTCACAAGTTCCATATAGTAAACCTGCATTAAAATTTCCAGTATAGCTCACAGAGGTCCAAAGGTCTGACAAGAATCTGGCAACCAACAGAGGTAAATAGGGCTGAAAGCAGCTAACGTGTTTCGGGGGTGATCCCCCCTTCCTCAGAGCTCTCAATAACATAGAAAGTAATGTGTATATAGATATAATAACAAATGCCATTTCCCCTAAGATCGGAAGATCAATCCATATGGGGAAAGTTGTGACACTTCCCTGAACCACCCCCATGATCCAATACTACAATCATAGCAGCTTGGATGAACAGCCAATGAGCACTGAGAGACTTGACTGTGTACAGGGACTGTAACTAAAATGGTAACAACGTTCTGCAAGTATTAAATAGACAACAGAATAAAGGAGAAGCAGCAGACTGCCTGATGGAAGAAACTGCAGGCTGAGACACATCCCACTCCTCCGGACACCTTATACCCTTACTTTTACAGTGAGCATAAGCCAGCCAATCAAAACTGAATGGACGGGGCCCTGTCCACATGACATACAAGAAGGAGGTGGTAAAACCTAAGAGAGCCAGGGGAAGGGGTGTGAGCAGCAACAACAATGAGTCCTGGCCTGAACCTTAAGTCCAGACTCGTTCCCCTCCTGGAAACTAACTGAATAGTGCAGAAGGAGTGGGCCCATGCAGAGTGGAGTGGGGTGACTTTGGGAGGCCGTACCGCATCATTAAGACAACCGGGATGCTAAGAACTAGCTAGACCTGGTCAGTGTCACTTTCCCCAGCCCATACTTATAGGAGAAACTTAGCTAGAAGATATATTTAAAACATACACATAAACATGATATAACAACAAAAAAGCTCATGCAACATAAAAACCAGAGTGAAAGTGTGATTGTAAATTAATAACTTATTAAATTGTTAGATTATTAAATTGTTAAAAAACTCCTTTAATGCCTTAGATTATAAAAGCACCATAAGTTCTAAAAAGTTATAAAATTATTTAAAATAAATGCATTGCTATTGGCTATTTCAATTTGCAATAGCCAATAGTAAACTAGCATTGCACCCGCCCTCTGTTGATGGACCTGATGGAGAACTGCAAAAAGAAAAAGCAGTGTTTCTCTCCTGGGCGGCCAGGAGCGGGAAACTCCCGGAGCGCCCGGGAGAGTTTGCTGTCTGGAGATCAGTGTCCCTGGTTAGTTGGTAATCAGGGACGGGAGCTGTACGGGCTATTGTGAATAGCCCGTACAGCAGCCCTTCAGTTCTACTGAACCGAAGGGGTCCTGGGGCTGAAGCTATGGCTAGATCCTTCGTGAATAGACCCCTATGTTTCAATAAGGCATAACGAATGAGGTCACTATTGTATCATTTGTCCAGAATTTTTTTGCTGAGTATTTCGCCTTGGGACAAATATTCCACATCTTTAGCGCACGTGCGTCCGAGCCTACAATATTGTCCATCTGGGTCATTTCTAATCCACATAGGGCGGTGCCCGCTCTCAACGTGCAGATAGGAGTTGCCTGCCAAAGGCTTGAAGTGCGTTCTGGAGGTTATGACACCGTTATCATCATCATAGGTCCAGGAATATTATATTTTTGTCATCTATGACATGTGTGAAATTAATACCAAATGGATTATTGACACAATATTAATTACATTCAGACAAAATGTCCCTATCTTCATCCCAGATGACCAAAATGCCATCTATATAGCAGGCGCAGAGCACCAGATTTGCCACAAAAGGATTGTTATGCCTGATGAAGAACTTTTCACAATATTCCATAAAGAGATTAGCATAACTAGGGGCAAATCAGGCGCCCAAGGCGGTTCCTTTAGGCTGAATATAATGGTTGTCCATAAAATAGAAATAATTGTGGGTAAAAACTAATTGTATGGCCTCTAAGAGGAAGTTGGCTTGTTCAGAATCCATGGTTTCAGAAGCGGAAATAAAATGTTGTACAGCAGACAGACCTATGTTCAATAGAAGTGTACAAAGAAAGAAACATCCAGAGACACCCAAAGATACCTAGTGTTCCATGTATAATGCTGTAAAATATCCAACATATGATTGAAGTCTCGAATAAATGCAGGATGATCACACCCCAGTGCCCAAAGCCTGTTTAAATAGGTGGCACACGTTATCCTTAAATTCTTTATTGAGATCTTTGGAGAGTTCTTTATATGTGTTTGTATCAGAAAGAAGTCTATAGGCCTCCTGAAGATAATCCAGCCTGTCTTGGAGCACTAGGCCCCCTCATTGTTGGCCTGTCAGAATATTTATTCTCTATTGGACTTCAAGACATGTGTAGCCTGCTCTGGTTTTTCACCGGAGGATGTTCATCATCCTTATATGAGTGCAATATTGTATTTTTTATTAGGAAAAAATCTATTTTAAAGCATGAGGTCTTGAACCCATTGCCTCTTGACCCCGAAGCCTCCCTATTGTTCTTTTACTGTGATATGTGGATTCTCTAGTCCAGGGGAGCCCACAATTTTTAATCTGGAGATCTACTTTGCAAATGATGAGCTCAATGAGACCTACCAACGAAAAAACACCTGCATTCTGGGGCGGGAGGGGGCATAGCAGTGCATTGTAGTCAATGGCACGGCAGCCACGCCCCCAGTGCAATCGCCGAACCAGGAATGCAGGCACATTAGTGCTTCCGTTCCGGTCCAGTGTGATCTGCAAAAATGCTGCATTTTTGCAGATCGTGCTGGACCGGAACACACGCATTAATGTGCATGCGGTGCGGGTGAGGGCTGGGGGCGTGGCTGTGGTGCCATTGACTTCAATGCACCGCCACGCCCTCTCCCGCCTCTGAATGCAGGGAGCCGGCCGGCTTGCGTTCCAATGTGTTCTAGAGGCCGAACAGTCTGGAACGCAGACTTTGTGGTGTGAACCGGCCCTCTCTTCTCTCTCTCCTCGCGCTCTCTCCTCTTTTATCTCCCCTGTTTCTATCTGCTGTCTCTTCTCTCTCTCTCTGCTGTCTCTTCTCTCACTCTCTCTGCTGTCTCTCTCCTGTCTTTCGTTTCTTACCTCCACTGCAGCAGCTTTCCAAGTCTCCTCTCCTTTCTCCTTCCCGTCTGCGGCGTCTGAGACATTCAGCCGCACAAGCACCGCGGGAGGACAGGGACACAGGTCAATGAGCCGATCGCGATCTACCAGTGTTCGCGATCTATGTATGTGTTTGTGTGTTATTTAAGCTTTGGGCTCAAAAGAGGTTGTTTTCAGAACTAACAGTTCCAGTGCTTCACATGGTTCCAATTATGGTTATATTTAGAGAATTAAATGGGTTACATTGTGGGGTTAGGGTAAACCAAAAGTATTAGGTTAAGGTGGAAGTAAGGGAACTTTTTCTTTTAAATGCTGATTGGCAGGCTTTTTATGGCAGAAGAGACTGCGCTAGTCTCTTCTGTCATAAAAGCTCCTTTCTCTCATTCAGCATTTTTTGATAAGTGTATGCTAAGCCACACATGAACACTTCAGCGCACAGACCCGGCATGCCAAGATGAAGTAACTCTTGTGTGCATGCAAGTTACGTCATCAGGGCTTGGCTAATCAAGTAGCAGAAGACTGGAAACTTAGAAGAGAACCTAACTGAGGATGGAAGAGTCAGAGAGGGAGGATTATGGCGATGAAGGGGATTGGTTTGCCAGGTAAGTCTGCCATAATGTGCTAATATGATGCGCATGCTAGCACATTATGGCTTAAAGCTCCAGGGTTTTCGTTTTTTAACTTACTATCGCTTTAAGGTTAGGGTGGGGTCTATGGTTAAGTGTTAAGGTTAGATTAAGGATTAATATTAAGAGTTAGAGGAAGTTAAATTGTATTTTAAGTGTTAGGTTACATTTATGGGCTTAGGTGATGGCAAGGTTAAAGGTAACCTGTCATGAAACATTTGAACATAAGCATGGACATTTCTTTACCAGAGATGCTAAAGTCTTGCAGGGCGTTTTGTGGATAGCACTTGCGGAGCAAACATCCTCGGTAATAAAAAGTCATCCAGTTCTTGGGATCCAAATGAATGACGGCTGAAAATTCTTCTGCTGCCTCATTATAGCGGGACAGCTTGGTGTAAGCTCTTCCACGGTAAGTTCTGTTATACAGAAGTATTTAAATCGCATTAATCTGCTTTGGTCACAAGTCTACAAATGATCTCATCAATAAGACAGAAAAAGTTACAGGAAAAAATATTGTGTACTAATACAATAATATCCAGTTAATTATTTGACATTTTAGTAGACACTATTGTTTAGTAAATTGCCTGTAACTGTCTGTCTATCAATGCTCAAGTCATTCTGGAGCCCAAACCAGCTGCAATTCTCACCTAACAGTAACGAAAGCAAAGTACAATACTTTGATTGTTTCCTCTGTTCTATGGCTCACTTTTAGGGAGTTTTTTTCCAACAAGTCAGAACATTTCCTCAATTATTGAGGAGCTTTTCAGGCATCTTTTAACATCTCTGTCTCTACGTAAAGCAGACCTTCACTCTAAAACTCTACTCTAACCCACTGCAACCCTACACCTCTTCTCTGTTTGAAAACGAATGTTTTATGGAGTTTTCAATGAGCTGGTTGACTCATAGACATTCCATGTAAGAAGAAGCAGTAGAGGAGAACTATTTATATGGCTGGCTCCATGCAATAGATGCTCATCTGCATCCACTGCAGTATATACACAAAACCCTCAGGCTGAGATAAACTTACTATATTCCTAGAAAGCCTAAATGTTCTATAAATTCCAAAGTAACACATTTAAAATCAAATCGTCTATAAATTCCAAAGTAACACATTTAAAATCAAATCGTCCAGATGCAGAAAAGTTTGCAAATAAGCTCATTGGCAGTGGCAAGGTATCTCCCAAACAAAACAGGCCTCCCTTGTTGGTTAACCAGAAGTGCTTCAAAGTTCTGAAATAAAGGGTGTCGAACCAAAAGGTGAAAGAGTCCAAAAGTCCCTTTCATTGTTTACAATTTGATCATCAAAAAAAAAACAACGCTGTTTCTGCTGCTGTAAATGACAATTCAAGTCCTAAAGGAGGTCTTTTTATTAAATTATACAGAGATCCATTTGCTTTTAGCATTGGTTGACTCCAAACAAATCTGTATCCCTTTCCAAGTCCAAGTTCTGTGGGCATTGTTGTTGCCCACAGAACACGTTGGCTTTTTTCCATTTGATTGAATTGTGAGCAATTATAGTGACACTAAACTCAGGAGTTAAACCTTAAAAATACATTCAAGTATCTTAACTATTAACAATACCTCACCATTTTTGTGTATCACTCAGCAGTAGATCCTCAAATCATCTCTGAATTCATGCTGACACTGTCCTACTTTCTGGAGGGTGGCTACTTGTGTTCCCCATGGTCCCTGTGTGTGTTGAAAAGTAGCCACCGCTCTAAGCTCGCTCCCGTGATAAACTAAAATCTCAATGCAAAGAGTGAACTAAACATGAGACTTTAGTCCATCACAGGAGCAAGCTTGATGCGCAAAGGGACCATGGGGAACAAAAGTAGCCACCCCCGAGATGGAAGGTCAGTGTCAGCATGGATTCAGAGCTGATTTGAGGATCTACAGCTGAGTGATACACAAATGAGCTACATTTTTCTTAATAGTTAAGGTCCTTGAATGCATTTTTAAGGTTTAACTCCTGGGTTTAGTGTCACTTGAAGGCACGTTTGGACTCTTTCACCTTTTGGTTTGATGCATTTTCTGTAATATAGGTTAGTATTACAATGTAATATTTGCTCTCTATTATTGTAAGGGAATAAATAAACCAAATAGGCTACAGACCTGCTTTAAAGTTAATTCTTAAAAATACATTCAAGTACCATCATTATTAACAAAAATGTAGTTTATTTGTGTATCCCTCAGCTGTAGATCCTCAAATCATCTCTGAATTTTTGCTGACACTGTCCTTTCTTCTGGAGGGTGGCTACTTTTGGTCCCCTTTGGTCCCAATGTGTGTTTTAAAGTAGCCACCACTCCAAGATCACTCCCATGATATACTATAATTTCAATACAAATTAGCTTAATAAATGTGAGATTGTAGTCCATCGCAGGAGCAAGCTAGGAGCGGTGGCTACTTTACAACATACACAGGGGCCATGGGAAACAAAAGTAGCCATCCTCCAGAAGAAAGGACAGTGTCAGCATGAATTCAGACATGATTTGAGGATCCACAGCTAATTGATACACAAATAAGCTACATTTTTGTTAATAGTTAAGGTACTTTAATGATTTTTTTATATTTAATGCTTAAGTTTAGTATACTGTAACGGTTTTGCCAGTTAAAATGCAATTATATTTCCAGATAAAGTCTTCAGCAAGCACAACACACTCATATCGCAGAGTTATATGATCAGAGGTCCAGTATCTTTAGGCTAGCTTGTGATTAGCTGGAAGGAATTTTCCAAAGGTTTCTAGTTTTATATAGCATTGGAAAGTATTGCAGCATTTCTTATCCCAAACTCATCACAATTTAACTGTGCCATGTGCTGCACAGAAATTATGATTTTATGGCTGCTGGTAATGCGAGATATGGGAAAAAATTGGGGCCAAAAAAAGATGTAAATTTCAGGAAACACAAATTTGAATGGGGCATTTAGATAAGGGGCTCTATTCAATGATTTTGTTAATAGAGGTTAAAGCAAGAATTCTGATGCCCCCATAATCGATAGCCCAGGTGCTCACCTTGCCTCCACATGAGTAAAGTCCTGTTTGATGACAGCTGTGAAGTCCAGCACTGCTGCACTCCAGTTGCCGTTCTCAAAATAGTACAAGCCATGCTTCATCAGAGCATCCGTCCGACTGGGATTTTTAGAAAAGCACTGCAAGAATGAAAAAAAAATCTGTACGGCCAATTTATATCTTTATCATACAGGTCAATTAGAAACACTCTCCATACGGCATGTTTTTAGAATCAGTATACCGTATGATTATGTTAACTGCATATAAATACCTGAGCATAATCATCCATGGCTATAATAAGTTCATCCTGAGCCTCATACATTTGTGCTCGCCGGAAATAGATGTCATCGTTCGTTGGCTGACACTTAAGAGCTTGTGTATAGTTGACTATAGCTAAAGTGTAGTCCTTCTTCTGCTTGTATATCTCAGCTTTGGAAAGGTAGGCATCTGAATTGTACACAGAACAGCAGAAAGATGAATAATCAATGTTATTTAATTTGTAAGCATTTTTCCTGTTATTCCAGAGCAGTGTCTAGTATGGGAATCACTAAGACTCACCATACACGTTACAATCTGACCATACAATGTTTGTTCAATCAACCTCAGACTTACCAAAACATTGTAATATGAGGACCTACCTGGTCTATCCAATTCATTTGTATTCAATCAGGCAGGTCCTTGCAGTACATAGTTGTTGGAAGAACTAAAGGAGACTGTATAATCAGATTGTAATGTGGGTGGTGAGCTTAAGGCCAATGTCACACCTAGAATCCTGTTACTGATGACAACTATGCAGAATGGGACAAGACAGAGAAATACTGACCATTTTCTAGTGGGTCCCCACAGCGCTCATCGCCCGCTGCTAAACAGCTTCTGTGGAGGCACCCATGCGTGCTCGCGCCCGCGGTAGCTGTGTGCGTCCATAGACACACACAGCCCTGAGGCAGGCCATGCTCCTCCTCTCCTCCCTAAAGGGTAATTGACGGCAAATGGAGCCTATGGCTCCTCTGCCATAAGTATCCCCCGCCCATCCGCAACCAGGAAGTTTGGGGAATGGAGGATCGTTTCAGGGACTGGCAGTGGTGTCAGCGGTCTCACAGGTAAGTGTGGGGGGGACAGGGAACACAAAAAAGGTACTGGTCGTTTTTTATCTTAATGCAGAGAATGCATTAAGGTAAAAAACGACTAGTCTTTAATACTACTTTAAGGGTAAAATATGCCAAGGAAGGAGTCATGTCCAGCAGGAGTGACAATGTATGAGAAGCCATGCAGTAGTTTTAAAAACATAGAGGTGTGCGCCCTGGAATTTTGTTGTTTGATCAACTTACAATAGGATGATTTCTGGATTTCCATGTAGTAGCATGGCTGTTGTAATTGGTAAATATTAGTAAAGTATTTCACATGTCATTCTACTGGAAGAACTAGAAACATGCATTGTTGTGGAATATAGCGGATTGTATGAAATTGCCCTCTCCGACTATGTTCCTCTACAGTGCAGATCTGCTGGTGTGCAGGTGTGAAATATCACAATATCTGGGTGACATCACATCCATCTGCAAATAAGCGTGGTGATGTGCAATACTGTCTTTTACCGACAAAAGTTTTAATCACAACACCATGTGAGCTGTTTTACATGCTTTACATACATTTTAGCTCTCATAATAATTTTTATTTCTAAGTATTCAATTCACAAAAATGAATATCACATTGGTGGGATATTATTTATTATGTATATTCTCCTGCAACGGCTCCTTTTCCTGCTCTCCTCAATAAGCACCTCATAGAAACTCACAAGTAGGTTAGTAGTAGTATGTTAAGCAGCTGTAGAATAATTATTGTGAATGGACTTTGCATAAAGGAAATTGTGAAAACTGATAATATGCATTGAATTTAACAGATCCATACAATAAAATGTTAAAGGAGAACTATGGGGTCAGGGCTTTTCCCCATAGTTCTCCTAAGGCTAACGGGAAGACACAAACTAGCGTCCTCTCGTGACCCAAAGCTCAGTATACTGAGACGCCGCAGCCGGGACGGATCCCGACATTGCTGTTGAGATCCACCCAGCTGCGGGATTGACAGCTGGCTCTGTCTATCCAGAGGCAGAGCCAGCTGTGCCCGCCCCCTCTCCCGTACGTTCCGCCAGTCAGCGCTGGAGGATCTGACAGGGGAGGGGGGAATCCCTGCAGGAAGCCGTGAGTGACAGTCACAGCTCTCTGCAGGGATAGATCGAGAAGTGAGCGAGCGACGGTATGTGTTCGCTCACTTCCCAATCTACTGAGCCGACCTGTGACAGTTTCATTGTCACAGGTCGGCTCAGATTATGAGGCTGAGTGAAAATCACTTGCCTCCTAATTCTCCTTTAAGGTCAACATGTGCTGGAATAATATTTATTTTCTTTTTTAATGTTTAGGAGCAAAATCTGTACAATAATCATTTTGAATGGACATAAAGGAGGTTGTGCTGTTCACACCAAGAGCATTGGGCTGCAACAGTGCCCTATGCAGTCCCATGCTATTTGTGTGAAAGAGCTCTTAGTGAAAGCCTGCACAGTGAGCTCTCAAAGACATATATCAGACAAGGTACTGAATTGAGCAGAAGACTTACCTGCATGTGTTTTATTATATTTAATAATTAAGTTTAGGTCATCAAGAGCTTCATTTGTCTTCCCTTGCAGCAAGAAAATCAGATGTCTATGCCAATATGCATCCAGCAGTTGTGGCTCCTGTTTTATAACCTGTGAAGAGCGAACAATGTCCAGACAGTAGACGGATAATTTTATAAGTAATCCTGGACAATTACAATAGCTAAGGCTAAATATTCAAAATTTTAAATAATCCTAATCAGGAGAGGTTATGTTTAACTGTTTGCCGTCTGCCTGTTGTGAAAAAACGGACGGACGGCAAACTCCCATTGGCGGGTTGCCCTAAATAAACTGCCTTTTTTTTCTGTTTGCGCTCGTGCCCTCCTAGCGCACGTGCACGGGCAGAAAAAAACTGTCCACTGTAAACGTTACCGGCTGCTTCACATACAAGCGATATCAAGTTAACAAGAATTACAATTTAACCCTATCACAAGTTTGTGGCAAGTTATCCTTGCTATCTGGGAGGGAGGTCAGCATCTTCCTCCTTGCTGGCCTCGCTCCGACGTCTGAATGCGGAAGTGATGTGTAATACATCACTTCCGCGTTCACCTGTCATTCCTCTGGCTGCTATAGCCAGAGAAGAAGCTGATGAAGTAGATCTCCGCTTCATCAGCTTCTTTGGGGTTCCCCAGGTGACATTAGGGGTCTTAGAGACCCCTAATGTCTCCATAAAGAGGACCTGTCAGCGTGCCTGTGCTATCATATAGGGGATTGTTAGCCCCCTATGTGATAGCAAAAACATTAAGTGTAAAAAAAAAAATGAAAAAAGTAAAAAAAGAAAAGTCACATATAAAAAGTTTTTAAAAAACCCAAAATCTTTAAGTCCCCCACCCCCACGTTTACACACATATAAACGTAAATACACTGGTTATGTCCTTAAAATGACAGGCTTTTCATTTTTGCCTAGTGTCCATTTCTCCTGAGGGCAGCAGCATAACCCTCATCTTATTCAGAGCTCTGTCCCTCAGCAGACAATGGAGATGATGGACTTTTTTCTTCTTCTTACCATATCTAAATCTTGCAAGGCAAGACGTAGATTCCCTAGTTTTCTGTGCAGGGCACCTCTTCTACAGTAGTGGAATGAAGATGGTCTCTCTTGTTTCTCTATTAGATTTGTGAGATAGGAAATCTCTATCGCCACATCTTGCACAGATGCTGCTGGGTCCTCTACAAAGACAGGCGGTACTGAGTCCAGGCCTGCGGTCCATGGTGTCTCCTCCTTCTTTTCAGGATCAGGCTGATTCACAGGACCAGTTATATCGAAGTATTGTGCTTCATCTTTCATAGATGCCCGACTTGGAGGAAGAACTTCATCAAACCAGTTATTCCAAATGCCTCTCACCCATTCTCGAAGATCCTGGCCCTTCTGGGCACCACCCTGAGTCTTTATGAAGGATGAAAAATCTAACTGGTGAGGAAGACTGGAGCTCCTCAGATGCTGAGTGGGTCTTGAACCAATCGACATTCTTTCAATTGACACAGATCTGTATGGAAATAAAAAATAAGAAGTCAGGGCTGCTGCCTGGACTACCTTTTTCCCAGGGAAGGAGACCCCCATTTGAGCTACACCCCACAACCTATATTTTAAAAACATTTTAAAGTAATATTAAAGTCAAAAAGTTTTAAAGTGACACTAAGAATTTAAGCCTTAAAAATGCATTCAAGTACCTTAAAAGGAGAACTATGGGGTGAGTGAATTACAGTCATCTCCATAGTTAGAGCCAACATCTTACATTGAAAAACATACATACGAAAACATACCACCGCTCGCTCACTTCCCGATCATCTCCCAGAGCTGACTGCCTGCTAAATACTATAGCCCGTGACATACTGAGTTTTGGCTCACAGGAGGATATTAGTATATGTCCTCCCATGACCCTAAAGGAAACTATGGGGGGAAATAAGGTTAACACATAGTTCTCTTTTAACTATTACCAAAAATGTAGCTTATTTGTGTATTACTTGACTGAAGTTCCTCAGATACAGTAATCTCTGAATTCATGCTGACTCTGTCCTTCCTTCTGGAGGGTAGCTACTTTTGTTCCTCTGCATGGTTCCTCTGCATGCTGTAGCGGCCGCTCCAAGCTCACTTCTGTGATGGATTACAATTTCATATTTAGTTTACTAATTTGTAGTGAGATTGTAGTCCGTCACGGGAGCAAGCTTGGAGCGGTGGCTACTTAACAGCAGGCAGAGGGACTATGGGGAACAAAAGTAGCCACCCTCCAGAAGGAAAGACAGTATAATCACAAATTCAGAGATGATTTGAGGATCTACAGCTCAGTGAAGCACAAATAAGACACATTTTTGTTAATAAGTAAGGTACTTTAATGCTTTTTTAAGATTTAACTTGTGATTTTAGTGCCACTTTAAGCTATGTCAAATGCTTATTAAATCACTTACTGCTGAGCAATATTTCCTGCAGTTCCAGAGCTAGGCAATAGATTCCAAATGGAATTACCCAGCTCTACGCAGCCATTACAGGTCTGGGCTTTCCGATGTAATAAAAGGACACACTAGTCCATTACCCTGCCCCACCTACCTTGGAGGACACCATGGATCTCACCATTTGTTCTGACTGCCGCCTAAGGGGGAGAGATGTGCGGAACGCATGACTTCCTCTTCCATACTATTCTCACCTGCTGCTGACAACCCTTTCCGGATCAAGTCTGGTTGTGCTGAGGAGCCTGTGGAGATTGGGGCCACAAGCTTGTCCACCCAAGAAAAGTTCCGCGGGGACCTACAGCTCCAGTGCTCATCTGCGGGTGTTTCCCAGCTGCCAGTACTTAGCCATCACCTGGTGCTTCCTGGGAGGATATTTAAACCCTCCCTGCAGTCAGGATGATGGCTCAGTATTGTTTCCTGGGAGTCCTGAACCCTGTTTGAACCTTGTTACCTGTGAGTCCTGAACCCTGTTTGAACCTTGTTACCTGTGAGCCCTGTTGTTGGTTGTTGCTGTTAGTCTGCTGTGTATATTAAACAATCTATACATATATAACATACTTGCCTGGTCCGTATACCATACTTGCCTGGTTCGTGTGGTCACACGTGTTTGGTCTGCCTGTGTGGGTACCCGCGCAGGTGTGGGGTCACATGTGCCGGTATCCCTGACACCAACACACAAAGTTGGGCACGTGGCGAAGTACTCTCCTGGTCTGACTCCTGTTTCAGGTCCTGCCTACAGTCAACTGCTGTTGTTGCCTCTGAATACCACTTCTCTACCTGCTTGCTACTCTGACTTTTCAGATGTCTTTGCCACTGTCTTGCCCCCGCATAGGCCCTACCACTGTCCTATTGACAAATTACCAGGCACATCTCCGCCTAAAGGGGCAGTTTTACCCTCTGTCGGAACCTGAGACCCAAGCCATGTGGGACTATATTGAACAGAAAGTGTGGTATTTCATTCCTCCTTCCACTTCCCCTACCGGTGTGGGGTTTTTACTTTGTGCAGGAAAAGGATGCCAGCTTCTGCCCTTGCATCGACTACAGAGGACCTAATAAGATCACCATGTCTAACAGATATTCTCTGGCTTGAACTGTTCAGCTGTATACAAGGGGCAAAAATCATTTCGAAACTAGACCTCAAGGAGGCATATCATCTTATATGTTTCCACTCTGTGGATGAGTGGAAGTGGCCTTTAACACCCATGAGGGGCACTACAAATATTTAGTTTTGCATTTTGGACTGATAAATTCCCCCAAAGTCTTCCGTTAGCACCTGGGTAGATAAGTAGTAATTTACTTGAATGACATCCATATCTATTCCTCCCCTATTTGGAACACATTCAGCATGTCGCTTGGTCCTCTTCAAGCTGCAGCAGCACTACCTTTGTGCTAAACTTTCCCAATGTCTTTTCCACCAGACTCAAGTTCCCTTCTTAGGATACATTATCTCGGACAGCAGCATCTTCACGGACCCAGCAAACGTTCTACCACTACTTCAATGAACACAATTGTAAGTATTAAATGCCATTCAATGTTTAATCGGCTTCGTAAATCTCTACAGAAAGTTCATTACCTCACAGCTGAAGGCCAGAGCTGCAGCCAGCAACACAGACTGATAACAGGGGAGCGGAGCTGAGAGACATGGACCCAGCTGTTCAAAAACATGATGACTGCAAATGCTTGGGAAAAATATAAGGAAATATACTTTGCTGGGCAATGTATATTAATTTGATCTGGATTTGTGATTAAGTTGGAGAGTTTAATACTACTTTAACCTTATCTGAGTGTGTGAAGGCAGGGCTTAAAATGTACAGTTGGTGCCTAAAAGTATCCTTTAGTTGTTGTCAAAGGAGCTGGCACCTAAAAAATCCTGCTGGCTGTCCCAGTTTCTCATAAGAGAAACATATCAGCTGCTATTGCTGATCTCCTTCTTAAAATGCTAGCTACCTGACCATTAAGATGATCTTCCTGCACCAGGACAAGTATGTAAAAACAGACTCCAGGCTTTTCTCTGTTTTCTTCATATGTATACAGTACTAATTCTATCAGTAACTCACATTGTAATAAAATATACCTGCTTTGACAAAAATATGTAGAATTCTATTGCCGACTTTTCTTTTTGGAAAAGGGTGGCTACCCGGCTGTCATGCTAATCCACTGGCTTTACTACTTACTGAGTCCTGACCCACAGCAAGCATGCAGTTCAGGAGTTGTGAAACATCACTGCAAGACAGTCCGGCAGCTAGCATTTTCAGAATAGGTTCAGCAAAAGCAGCCTCCATATTTGTCTCCCTACAGTTGGTGGGTCAAACTCAGGATAGAGTCAGAAGGCAAACAGCTCAGTAGGTCAACAGTGGCAGCCTTTGTGCTTCAAAACAGGTTTTCTTTAGCTGCCCCATTAAAGGTGGGCATGAAGACCTTGTGTCTAATAACAGTCTATGGTTCGCTATTATTTTGTGTGTCATTATACCTAAGTAAGCACACTCAATGCTTGATTTGATTTTGTACAAACAACTGCATTCAATGTAAATAAATTCAAAAGTTCACTTTTTAGCCTAGTTTCCTGAGTATATTTTATAACTGAATCTCCTAAGTGAAGTTCAAAAAACAAAGACACACAGGCCCATGTTACAAAGCATTACAACTCATAGCAGTAACCCACATTACCCACAGACTGCATCAAGGCAGGAATCCACTTACTTTTAAGATTAAAGAATAAGGTGTTAATGTATAGCCACCTTATGAAGAAAGAGTTCCAATATATGCTCAAAGATGACCCGAACAAAGGAAAAAGCTCCACAGTCCACGTGTATTGCAGGTGCAGGCTAAGAGCCCATCCATGCTCTGCAAATCCTGATACTTTGTAGTGAAAGCATCACACACCACTGACATCACCATGGATAAAAACTTTATCCAACTCCGACACACATACTGCTGCCCTTCCTACAGACTGCCCACAACTAACGTGTTTCACCCTTACAGGCTTAGTTTGAGTTGAATAAAGTTTTTATCCATGGTGATGTCAGCGGTGTGTGGCGCTCTCAAAAATGACCCCGTTCCCAGAAATCATAGTCCAGGTCACATCTGCTAGCTTATTTGCGCATGTTATATTGGGGAGGATAAAGTGGAGTTGCACATTTATGCAGACACAAAATCTGGTTTGTGCAACCATCTGGTTGATAGATATTCCTGACCTTGGTATTGCTGTACCAAGGGGGAGGGAGGTTCTTACCTTACTTCCTGTCCCTGTAGGCAGAGCAGTTGTCACCAGGATGAGAAAGCGCAGACATCAATTAAAAACACTGTCAGTAGTTCTAACCTTTCTCCCCCAATTTTTCTCTTTATCCCCTATTGAGAAATTTCCCATTACATCCTGTCCTTTTATAATGATAGGGATGAAAACAGAAATATAACAAAAGCTTTAACCCTGCCCTAGTCTATCCAAAATGAAATAATAAGTTCCGGCTAGAGTTGGGTTTTAAGAGCCATTCAAAGCAGAGAGTTCTAATATACATACTTCTGAAAAGTAGGAGTTTAGTACCTGCTATAACATTGCACACAAAGTTCAGTGAGCTCTGTGGAGCAAATATTGGGAATTACGATCATTCATAATCCAAAACTACTTTGCTCAGCAGCTTAGCCAAAGTCCTGTGTTATACGTCACGATAACTTACCTTTTCAAGGTTCGTGGTGGTCGGTTCAGCTCCTCTGATATCATTTTCAGCTTCTTTTGATCTAAGTGTCCTTTCTTCATCTTTGATTTCTTCCACTTAAAATGATTTAAGGTCAGTTGTGGAACAGCCGCCACCTCTGTGGAAGTTAACTCTTTTTCCTGGTCAATAAGCAAGGTTGTCTGTGCAGGGATGCCTGACAAAAGTTTGGGGTTCTGCTCCTCCATTTCTTCACCTGGACAGACAGTTACAGCTTCTAATTGCCTGAAATGTTGCTGCTTCAACGCTGCAATCTCTTTCATACTTGTCTGAAAATCTGCTAAAAAATGGAATTTACTTTCCCCTAAGATCGATATGTTTGGAGAAGATGCAGAGATTTTTTTCTGTGGGGAAAAAAGACAAAAGTATAAAATCTGATTGCATCTATGATGAATCTATTATGTGATGAGGGACAGTATTGCTCATAGTAACCAATTAGATTCTACATTTTAATGATATACAGTACCTAAAGACAGCAAAGAAGGTTCTGATTTCAGGCACTTTGGGATGAGTCATTATAACAAGGGAACTGAACATGGGAACTAAAGAGGAGTTTTACCAATAGCAATGTATAAAGGGTTCACCCTTCACTTTTAATGCAAACACACAGTAAGAAAAACTGTTTTTCTTCCACCAGGGGTCATTAGCACCGGACATATGTAGTAGACAAGCAGAGCCTCCCCGCAAGCTGGCCATACACCTATAGACTTTCTGAAGCTTTGCTATGGTCAGACGAAAAAAGTGCAACAGATTCCTCCATCTACGCTAAACTGTGTGGATGGAGGAATCTCCTGCTGGGCCAAGCTTCAGTATCTTGCTTGTTAGCCCCGCTGGCTGTCAAAATACCTGAACAATCTGATTGATTGAATGCAGGGATTGTTCAGGTATTTTGAGAGCTTGGCCCAATGGGAGATTCCTCCATCCACACAGCTTAGTGTAGATAGAGGAATCTGTTGCACTTTCTCCATCTGACCATAAAAAATCTGCAGAAAATCTACGTGTATGGCCAGCTTTAGACTTATAAAGTCATATTGTGGTCATGAAGGGGTTAAAGTGTATGCAAAGGCAAAACTTTCTCTGAAATTTTGGACTGACAAGCGGAATTGAAGAAGAATTTTATGAATGTTTTACGCATATGAACGTTTACGTGTCTATACGTCTGTGAACGCAAGCACTGTACGGACAATGACATGTTTTTTTTATGCAGGCCAGCAAGATCCTACATAGATGAGAGTCATTTACTTACGGCCATGTGCATGAACCCTCAAGGTTTGAGGATCAAGTGGGAACAAATTGGAAAATCAGAAAAGTCCCCGTTATATCGTTTGAAATAAAATACGCCTTTGCACATTTTGATTTCATTTACCTTTGGAGTAGATAATGTTGAAAAAACAATGTTTGGTAATGAATTGTGTCTTCGACATAAAACTCTGTCCTTTTAATGGAGAAAAAACAAGTGTTAGCTTAGTACTACCATACAGGCACTCTTTAAAGAAATACTGTCACCTTGCCCATTCGGTGCTAAGTGACGGTGTGTTTACAGTTCACCCCCTCCCATTTATACTTACCTCTCCAGCACCGCTCCTTCTCCTGCAGCCAGCACTGCAACATACCAGGTATGGAAGAGCTGGTGACCTACTGCCATGATGCAGTGCTCAGGCCAAGAGGGCAATCTCTATGCCAGAGCACTGTCATATGGCAGGTAATGAAATTAGTTCACCGCTCCTGCTGACCTCCGAAACCAACCAGCACCTGATGTTGGAGTTTAGAGGGAAGACGCAAAGGGGGAATGCTGGAGAGGCGAGTATACAGTGGTCTGGGGTATCTTTTACACAGACCCTTTCACTCTGAATGGACATGGTGACAGTGTCTCTTGAAGCTTATGTAATTTAAACATGGAGCAGCAGGGTTTTTTTTCTCAGTTGTAAAGGTAGTTGGACTGTATATACATTTGCATTCACCAGTGACACCCGGGTAACTAGTGTTTTCAGAAGGTGGTCAGCAATGACAGCCCATATATTTCTCTCAGCAATGGTGTTAGTGCTTTCAGATAAACAGTTCTTTTTCTGTAAAAGAAATGTGAACGGAAAGCGGTACTACACCCTCTTATCCTTTACAGCCAAGGGAGGTGACATCTAAGCCTCTATTTGGATTGCAGTTGACATAATGATGCACATGTTATCAGCTATGACACGAACCCTTTGAGGGCTTGAAAGTTTGGTGAGAGCTGAAAAAAGCAGACTGGCAACCGTGACAGATATTACTAAAGGCATGCCATGAAAGAAACTGTTTTGGGAGAAATTGGTGTTAAATTGGTTGGTCTGGCTCCAAGAAACATGGAGGTGCTATTGCTGACCTCTTCTAAAAATGCTAGTGGCCTGGCTGTCATGTTGACCTAATGGCTTGAATTCTTTTGGAGTCACTGACGCAGGAAATGTATATAGATCAGGTGTTTTGATTTCTCAATGACTTTACCTTCTGCATCCTTGTTGCAGATTAGTGGCTCATAGTGTACTGAAATTGGAGGATAAAAACAGCCAGGGTACTGGCACCTTCAGAAGGAAGAAATGGAAGTCCCTGTATGTCTCACAGCACAGGTTTCCCTGTATAGCTATAGCCAAAACTTACTTTATATCATTCTAAATGAAGGGGTGAAAGGATTACAATCCCCATCAGGTTTTTATACGCATGCACCTTCTCTGTTTGTCCTGATGACCACTATCACTAAAAAAAAAACCATTTGGGCTAAAGTCTCTCATTCTGAGCAGGAGAAACACTGGCAGACACAACAAAGAATGTATGATTAAATACCCATGAATGACAGCCGAGTCAGTAACTTCACAACTGTGTTCATATCCCGGTGCCAACAGCTTCTAAAGAACCATCTAGTATGTGCGAATTTGAAGTTATCAAGACTTGTAAGAACTTGTCTTTCAGTGTACTTTAAATGACCTCAGATTCTTATTAATAGAAGCCCTCACACCATGAAATTACCAGTTTTGCAAGGTCTTCTGAGTCCATATTCTCTTCGTCTGATGATTCACTGTCAGTCTTCATCAACAGTAATCCTTCAGTGACTTCTTGTTCATCTAAGCAACTCTGAAACACAACATTAATAGATCATATAGCTACCTTTCAACATCTCGTGGAGTCAATGCCAAGAAGAATCGCCGCAGTATTGAAGGCAAAAGGTGGCCCAACGAAGTACTGATGGGGTGGTCATAATAATCTGGCCACTCAGTGTATATGGATAGATAGATAGATAGATAGATAGATAGATAGATAGATAGATAGATAGATAGAAGCATTGTCTGTCAATGTAGAGGTGCAGTAGTGGCAGGAAGACGGTCTGTATCAGCAGTGAAAGGGTCCCTAAAGGATTAGAAATGATATCCCAAGAGAGGAGGCTGATTGAAAACAGGGGAGTCTTACCCACAAATAGGAAAGTTTCCCAGAGTAAATGCAGCCATACGAGGCATGCATGTCCAAGCCCTCCTGGCCTAAAACGCACAGGCCACAGAGCCGGATTTACTTTTGAGATTGACAGCTGATGGAGTGAGGAGGAACAGAGGTAGTCCCTACCTGGGCACATAAGAATAGTGTATCTGAGCTAAGAAAGCTGCAGTCTGTGTGTGAGCAGACTCGAGTTCCAGTCTGGTGACTAATAGAACCAGTTCAGAGTAGTACCCCCTGCTGAGCATCATCAGTACAAAAACTATGCAGGTGGAAAATATATCTGACAGCGTTTAAAGGGACCCCTAGCAACCTTTGAAGGAACCATGGTTAAGAAAACATGTTCTATAAACTAACTAAAAGTATTTCCTGTGCAGTGGTGACATCATGTGGACATTATTGGCAATGTGCATAATAAGATTTCTTTAAAGGGTTAGTGTACTTTAAAACAAAGTTATCCTTTTTGCCCCCCTGCCCTGACCAAACAGATTGGATCTCGGTAAGTATGCACCTGTGGAGGCAGGGGTGGGGATGCATCTACTAAGTTAAGGGGGAAGGGGAAGTTGGCAAAAAGAATAGGTGCACTTTGTCTGAAAGTGCATTTTTTTAAAGCTGGAGCTCAGGCAAACATAAAGACTCTATTTAATCCAGTTATATATTTAATACAAAATATTATCAACCTGCCATGTACAGCAGGATTGGTAGACTGAGGGGCAACATTTTCAGCCAAAGATGGATCTACTTATTTGCACAAAGCTCTCAGTCAACAGTTTCAACATGTTTACAGGAGGAAAGGCCAATGTACTGCTTCTCTTTTACTGTCCAAGCACTGGTGAAGGGCAAGTTGGTGATCACCAGACTGAATGAACACAATAAAATTCCTTTGGCTGGTACAACAGTTCCTGTATATACATTTTGTCACCTATTATAACTGTATATTGAACTCCAGGTCAGCTTTTACAGGCTGTAGAAAAGAGTTACTAGTGGCAACCTGCTAGAAGAAATTCAAATACAAAACCTACACATTTGATTTTCAATACTCATATTTCACTTTGGATAGAATACTATCTATTCATCTATTCAGGCAGAACTGTGATTTTGTACATGTAAGGTGTTGGAAAAACATGAAGTTGAAATAGTTTCAACCATGGACTAAACCAAAAGAAAGCAAGCAGACTATACTGCAACTCTCTGGCCAGCACTTCCCTTCCTCTACCTATATATCTATATATATATCAATACACCTCCACCTATATACCTATAATCTTTTGCTCTCGCTCATCATAGGAAACACAAGGAGCTGAAACAGGCCTACACATCTTTGTATTAGAGGAGGTCCAAAGAGTAGCAGGTAGATAGTTTTTCCACTTTTAATTGTGTCCCCTAAAATATGGAGCTATTCGTGGAATTATTCCACATATCCCATCCCAGCACTATACATTATTATTTTATCATCATTACCTCATATTGGGAGAACAATGTTTCCTGCATTAGAGACAGAGGGGCAGAGAATTTTGGAGGAGCTGGTGCCCAAAACATCTTCAGGGTTTTATGGTACAGGGATGCCTGTGAAACAACAGAAACATACAGTCACTGATGACTAATCACAGTAAAATATAAAGTGCCATCAACATACCACAATCCCAACAATGCTACATGTCATTTATGTTCATAATACATAATAAGGAAAATACATTATGGGGGTTATTGACAAAGTTGCCGAAGGCTATTCACTTCTGGCTTGTACGGCTGATTTCAGCCGTACATCGGCTAAAATCAGCCGTACATCGGCTAAAATCAGCCGTACATCGGCTAAAATCAGCCGTACATCTGCTGCCTTTGGCTGTGTTTTGGCTGAGCCGAAGTGCAGAAGGAGTTCAACTCAACTTCATAGGGGCCGAACAGCAGTAAGTGAATAGCCGAATGCCGCTGAGTGGCATTCAGCTATTGAAATAAATGAAATAAATAAACAAATTAAAAAAAAAAAGTTGAAAATGTGTTTTAAAATGTAGGAAAATTAAAAAATAATTCAAATAGTTTAAAGAAAAAAAAAAGAGAAAATTAAAAATAATTTTAAAAAACGCTGCAAAGATGGCAGCAAAAGAAGAAAAACAATTGGGCAGAGCTAGCAGTGACAGCTAGCTCCGCCCAACTGTTTCCTATTGGCCACCACCTACCAGAGTCTTCTAGTAGATCCCGGCTAATGAATAACAACTGGTCGGAGCCGGCCGTGACATTGTTGTTATTGTTTAATGACGTATCAGCGTCCCCAGGTCATTTGGGTATGCTGATCTGTCATTACAACAGCTATATTTAAATAGTAAAATGAAAAACTGCTGAAACTCCCAGTAAACAATTAACCAGTATGCTGTCCAATACTGGATTCTCTCACATACGCTGTATTTGTGTGTACCAAGTGAGCTGTATCATGCAGCTAACTCAGGACAAAGCAGGGGCAGATGGCATTGCATCCTGGGAGTTTTTTCTCCCTTGTCTAGACCTGCTCAGCAATATTGTACTGCTGAAAAGAAATCAAACACTGGAATTAACTTAACTTTGTGCAACTGAAGCCAACATTTTTTTTTAGTTTTGGAAAGAGTGGAAAGGGATTAGAGCCCCTGCCAGGTTTTTATTGATGTATGTGTCCCCCATTAGGGAGATTCACTCTCTCTATTTGTCCTGTTGACTGTTATCACTCAACGTGAAAAGAAAAGAAAACCCACATTTTGGGTGGTCTCCAGAACAGTAATAGATAGTAAATCTTCTAATGGGAATACTAGTTTAGGTGACCCTGCTGACCACCAGAGAATTTCTCTCTCCTTGGAGGGATTTCCTCTCACTTCCTGCTGTGGCTATCAAACAGGATGTGAAGAGAAAGCTTCCAGATAGAACACCGATGGCAAAAAAGCTGCAGGAAGCTGCAAGAGATACCTCCCCATCCAACTGCTCCCATCCAAAATGTAAAAAAAAACACTTCAATTCTCCTTTAAGATACAACTAGATCACAAAAAACTTGCAGTTTTACTTAAACTATAATGAGGGTATGTACTATTTGTATTTAGAGCTTGGTAGTAATTTGATAGTACTCTTTCCTCACAGGTTTTTAATTCACTGTGCCTAATGTGTCCATTCCACCTCCAAAAAACTCCCCAAAGCTCCAGAATTGACAGCTTATGTGTGTTCTGTTAAAATAATGATTTTCTTCTGAAGGTTACCTGCTCTCCAGTGAGCTCCATACGAGGTCCTTCCACATAATATTCAGCAATTCTCTGCCACTCCTCCAAGCTCTCTGCACTATGAGGGGGCAGAGTGACAACACCACCCCTCAGGTCCTGTGACCATAGTGTTAACGTTGGGGTCCCATCCTGCAAAGTTCTTTAAAAGAAAAAAAGTTAAAAGATTTACACAATGCATTATATTTTTTTTCTCTTCCAGTTACTGTTTTTATGGTCTGTATTAGACTCTAAAAAAATCCTTCATGACACAGGGTTGCAGTCTTTGTGATTACAGTGATTCTGATCAGTAAACACTAGTCTTTTTTAAAACAAATCTTTATTGTTTTACTTGTAATAGATTTTTTATTGAACATTTTAAAGAGAAATGCAAAAGTACATGTTCCCCAGGCAGTATACAAACATCGAAGAAATAGAACAAATAACTGTTCTCATAGCTCAAAAGAAAAATGATCCATCTCAACATTAACTGAGAACGTAGTAGTAAGAAAACATACGTGCCTATAATGAAAAAAAACTCAGTAAGCAGTTAAAGTACACCTAAAGCCAGTGTAATTTTGGAAAGAGTTATTAAGGGTTGTCAGCCTTGTCAGGATTCTTTCTTTCTAGAACACATACAGGGTTATGCACTAAAGGGTGAAGAGTTTGGAGAAGGCAGGAGAAGTGAACAATCTAGGCCAAAATAGCTGATTTAGAAAAAGTCTCCAAATCAGCACACTTTCTAGTTCAGCTATGTTGTCCTAGATTGTTCACTTCTCCTGCCTGCTCCAAACGCATCACCCTTTTGTGAATAGCCCTGTTAGAAATGAGGCTTTGGATTTAATTATCAATAGATCAATGAGATTGCAATAAAGCACAATGGCTCTAGTGAGGCAGCTCTCAACAAAAGCAGGGTATCCCAAGAGCAGGGGGCCTTGTTTTGAAGAATCACATGTACAAAGTCCAAAGAGCATGCCAAACAAAAAGCCTGAGAGTCCAAATCAGTCCGATGCAGTCAGAAAAACCGGATTGCCACGGAAGCATCAAATATGCAGGCAAACGCACTAGAATGCACTGAAATCCCATTTTAAGCAAAAAAGACCCAACAAAAATGCATCAATTGTGGTAAAATCAAGGTAAAATCATGGATAAATCGCGGCAAAAAGCCTCGCATTGCAGCTGCGCAGACGCACACAGTTCTGGTGTGAACTAGCCCTTAAGGGATTGCTCACACTAAGCCCCAGTGCGTTCCAGCCCGATTAGTGCCGGAATGCACTGGATCGCATTCCGGCTGGCTCACTTTCTTTTGGGGTGAGAGGGGGCGTGGTGGTGCATGCAGCATTTTTTCTGACTCCACCAGACCAGAACACAGGCATTGATGTGCCATGCGTTCCGGTGCGGGCAATCAGAGGGCGTGACTGCCGTGCCATTGACTTCAATGCACCGCCAATCCCCTCCCGCCCAAAACAAAGTGAGCAGCCCAGAATGCGATACAGTGCATTCCTGTACCAATTGGGCCAGAACGCACTGGGGTTGGAGTGAAGTAGCCCTGATTAACCCAGTACCAATCAAACTCAGTACCAATGGAAACAATGTAAGATTTCATAAGTTTACTATTTGTTTTGTAGCCCTCAAGAAGGGGGGGGGGGGTAGTGTTTAATGCCCAAACGGCATTGGCTATACCTGGTTGCGTTTTCCTGAGCAAATATCAGTATTAAAAAAACTTTTGGACTCTCAGACCTTTTGTTTGGTTCTCCCTTTGGACTTTGTATACAAGGATTAGAGAGTTTCACCCTGTCTCTTTGTCCTAGTGACCACTCTAAAATGTTGAGTTGTCACTGGAACAGCAAAAAAAAGTCTTCTAATGGAGATACTTGTTGCATTAACAACTGTCTAAGAGGAGGTTAACAACACAGCACATACAATATGCATTGACATGCGCTTATGATGTGCATTTGGGGAGCTAATTTGGGGTAAATTTTTTAAGATGTACCCCAAATTAATGTCATATGCTGGCGTACAAATTATATTCTTAAAAGCACAAGTACAAAACCCACCCTTTATATACTGAATCAATCATAAGTGACAATCAAATCCTTCCAGCAATTTATGGGTGCAGAAAGCATTTTATTAGGTGGTCATTTAAACCTGGCTTGTTACAGATCACAGCACAGAGCTTTGTAACTGGAAACCATTGTTTTAGTAGTTTGGATAACATCCACAGATAAGCAGACCAGTATCAGCCACTTGGATTGCACTGTATTTGGACAGAGATACTAATAAAACCTGGGAGGTTAAGGATCACTGAGGATTGTCATTTAAAACCATTGTTCTGTTGGTTTGCACTGTGGACACAGACTGTGTGACTGATAGCCAGGCACAAGTGTAATTAAAGCCTGCCATTTGGAAGGTCTTCACCCAGGACAATCTCATGTCATACAGGTAACACAGACTCAGCACCAGAGGTATTAGCGGAGAAAGATTATTTTAGACCTTCTAGTAATTTAATCTATGCATGTGCCGTCCTTGCATGAGATGTTCATATCTTAAAGAGCCGAAAAAGCAAGATAGAGCCATATAAGGGAGGCAAAAGAGGATGTATAAAGCTCTTGAACAACTACTTCTATAGTCTCCCATGCAATAAAGGTGTTTCCAAAAGGATGCCAGATCCCTAACAAGAACATGAAGAGAGGAGTCAGGTGGATAAATCTGGCAATATTCACTAATGATGTGTTTAGATTATTCAGGATGCTGGTACGTTGTGTTAAACAAAGATATATTGTAAGCCTACCTATACATATCAGAAGGTAGTTGGAAGTCCAGACATGACCCAGCGATGTTGAAGCTGCACAGGTGCCAGTCAATCTTTTGAGGTCAGTTCTGCCAACTAGCACTTGTTTGTCAGTGCAGAGTAGAGGAGGTAAGCAGAAGATACTGCAATGATCACTCATCTCAAGCAAGAACAAGGTTTTCTAACCTCCAGATTGATCTGTCAACTGAAGATGAGATTGTTACCCAATCCAGCGAATCCAATGCTTATGGGTCTTTGTTAATGTATGAAAACCTCACATCAAAACTCATATCAACCATATCTGTGTGCAAGGCAGGTGTCTTCAGGCTTCTCAGGGGAACAACATACTATAAGATGGAATGTCCATACTGGCTAAAATACTTTTTTTTGAGGTCCACCAGCTTGGAGGTATCTACTGAAGTCACCCAAGGGCATCCTGGCCACTAGTTTGTTTGTTTTTGTTACAACTTTATTGAAATGTCACAAGTAACAATTCATTAAGTTCTATGGGCTCACTGTGGTGCAATGCGGTTGTACCGATTCTCACTGCGGTGCGCTTAAAAGAAGTACTGCAAGCCGTAGTTTTTTTAAGCGTACACTACCAGAACGCAGTAGCGTGAACTGCGCTCACCCATTACAAGTCAAATTGCCTTGTCTTGTGTTTAGGCTGCGCTTGAAAAAACGGCCAGCGCAGCCCAAACGCAGATGGTGTGAACGAGCCCTGAACCTGACTTTGTCATCTTTGACCAGAGTTGACCTTTATTATTAATAGTGTTACAGAAATGTGGCCATGTAGCAATGAGTAGCAGGTGAATGAAGAGGTATTCTTAATGCTCACCAATTTGTTATGGAGGGATCCTAGCTGGACATAGTGGCTGGTGAAAGTAAACACTCATCACTCACTGGAGCGAGGACATGTGCGGGCCAGTCAGCTACAGACTGATGGCAGTTCTTCACACACTGGGAACCGTGCATCCCCTGCACACGCTTTCCGTAAGGGGCTCTTTGTCTGTCAGGGAGGGGCTGTCATGGATAAGTGATTTCTTAAGAGAGACCACATTCCTACAGGAGAGATAAAGATTGTCAACCAATTACACCTGTCTTCACCACTGTCTGCTAATCACTTCAGGGGCCTCTGTGAGGTGATCTTGTAGTGCGGTCATGGAGGCACTGGGCTCTGTAAGAGTTAATTAAAGATTACCTTTGCTGAGAAAAATATGTAGGCTGCCATTGCTGCTTCTGAAAGGTAGTTACAGCGGTTACAGAAAGGTACTGGGCGTTTTTACCTTAAGATAAAATACAGCTAGCGTTTAGTAATACTTTAACATTAAGAAAATTGTAAGCATGTATGTAGCCAAACTTCAGTCATCCAGAGGCTGAGGAACTACAAGTCCCATAAGGCATTGCAAGACTCTGACAGCCACAGGCATGACATCCAGAGGCAGATACATGATGGGATTTGTAGTTTCACCACAGCTAGAGGGCTGCAGTTTAGCTACCCGATATAAAGTTTAATGGCAAACCAGACTTTGAATGTCTCTACCATAAAACCACTTTCTTGGCTGGCTAACATTTTTTCTTTTTACTATTTCTACGCTGACTACCGCACGTAACTCACTGTACAATCACTGCATCCTCAGTGTACAATCACTTCAAGGGTATCTATGGTCAAAAACTAAAAATAGATACGTATTTCTAAACTGAAGTTCTAAATTTTACCCCACTACTTATACACTGAGTGGCCAGATTATTATGACCACCTGACATTTGTAGGCAAATTATCTATAATTAGCTATAATTTCGAGCTGAAGTTGCTAGAGGGCTAGACCATTATAAATAGGGAAGCAGGTTGTTTACCACCACAGTAGAAGTGATTTTTTTCTGAAGATATGGGTAAACAACGTGATTTAACAGCCTTTGAACGTGGGATGATTGTTGGCGCTCGGAGCCATGAAGCGAGTATCAGCAAAACAGCAGAATTCGTTAAATGTTCAAGAGCAGCTGTTGTTAAAGTGTTTAAAGACTGGACTGTCAGCCAAAAATCTGGGTCTGAACGTGCGAATTGCGGCCGTCAGCGACTAGTCAATGTAGGGGCAGAACGGAGAGTGGCAAAACTGGTACAAGACAACAGAAGGGCAACAGTGCAGTGTCAGATGCCTCGCATCACCTTTTATCATCTCGTGGAGTCACGAGGCCGCCCAACGAAGTCATCTTGTGGAGTCATCTCGTGGCCCAACGAAGTACTGATGGGGTGGTCATAATAATCTGGCCACACAGTGGCCAGATTATTATCCCACTCCTAATAACAATATCCATCTAGAAGTTTGTAACCTTATTTACTGAAGATGCCCATAGGATGTACTTACTCAATGCACTGACACAATTCCACTCAGCTTCGTTAATATGCACTTCCTTGTTTTACAACTCTTACAGAGCCTTCTGAACTGCAACTCAACATCCAAACAGTGCAACATTATCATTGCTTGCTGGAAGCAATGCGTGAGGGGATATGCAGTCTTGATAAATAGAAAATTGCATCACATCAAGCAGCAGGGAAAGAGATGCAAAACACAATGGGAATCCAGGAAGTTGTTGAAAGTGATGGGCACACAGAAGGCATCCAGGGCCGGCCTTAGGGGTGTGAGAGCCGTGCGGCCGCACAGGGCGCCATGGCAACAAGGGCCTGTGGGCGGCTTCTCTCCCCCTCACCGCTGGCCATCCGATATGACAGCGATCCCTCATCCGCCCCCCACTTCAGGGGGGGCGCAGGAGGGAGCGCTGCCTGCTGTCAGGATGGTGGAGCGGTAAGGGGGAAAGAAGCCGCGCCCGCAGCTGTCAGGATGGCCAAGCGGGGAGGAGATCGGAGCCGCTGTCATCCTGTCAGTTTCAGAATGACAGCGGCTCTGTGCGTGGCAGAGTGGGAGATCGGTAAATATTATAAAAAATTATTTTAAAAAAGTGAAAACTGCCCCCCCCCCACACACACACATATTATTAGACAAGTGCGAAGACTAAAAATTAATTTCAGATTAAATGAACGGAAAACTAAAAAAGTTTTCATTTGTTTCATCAAACAAAACACATTTATATGCTATTTTGTATTCAGCCATTGGCGTGTTCTGGAGGCAGGGTGCATGACGTCATATAAAACCGCAGGTGTTGGGGCCGCCATCTTGGTGTATATCTAGGTATACACCAAGATGGTGGGGCCAATATCGGCCTGTGAGGTCACCTGACACCACGCATGCATGGCGTCATGTAACGTCATGCTCACTGCCTCCAAGATGGTGGTACGCATTCACAGAACACGCTGGTAGCCAACATGGCCGCCGCACATTGTCAAACAAATTATTATTATGTGTCTGAATACATTTCTTGTATATTCGGACATATAGTAATTCATTAGTTTACATGTAGCCCGGGTCTGTGTTCTGTTTTTTATTTTTACTTTTCTAGATGCACTTACTTGAAAAAGGGGTCTGCATGACATCCTGACACTTTATTTTTATAGACTCTATTGTAGTTTGACATTTATTGTTTACCTTCTGTTGTTTTATTTGATAAGAATACTTCTATTGTGCCTACAAGTTTAATACCCTTTGAATAAAAGTTTTATTTTTATCATACTTTTTAATATGTTTCTTTGCGGCTTAAGAAAATAGGAGTCTTTAAATGGTGCGGATATTGGGGAAAATGGGTGTGGTTACGGGGGTGTGGCCACTAAAGGGTGTGGCCACTGAGGGGCGCTGTAAAGCTTTCTCGCACAGGGCGCCTAAAGGCCAAAGGCCGACCCTGAAGGCATCACTCACTACATAAAAGGGATTTTTTTCAAGTAAGCTTTAATGGCATTATCAAAAACAACTCTAGTATGTATTACTATCACAATGCTGATGCTATAACAGGAGAGGATATGCTTTGACTTTCGAACTCCTTCAATTAAAACGTCACTTCCCAACAGTAAAAAAATTAATAAATCATAAAATAAAAATAAAAAATGATAATAAAAAATGTAAAAAATTATTTTAAAAGAGTGAAAACTGCTCCCCCCCACACGCATATTATTAGACATGTGCGAAGACTAAAAATTAATTTCAGATGAAATGTGTATGTGTAATGCCCTGTGCGTTGTGCTGTGGCTGTATGTGTGTTGTGCTGTGTGCGCGTTGTGCACTGTGTGTGTGTGTTTGTTTGTGTTATGCAGGGCAACTGATGGCGAGTAACTTTGAAGGCCTGGCTAGTAGCTCAGGACCTGAAATTTTGAGCCCTGCCATATTATATGTATGCCATATCATATGTATGCCATATCATATGTACTAAATGACAAGTACCCTTAATGATAAGTCTGTGCAAAACTATTATATGTGCAGATGGCAAGTGACTGAACACTTCAAGAATCAAAAAGCTACCATCTCCAGAAAGCTATAAAAGGATTTTAGCACATTTGATTACCAATTCTGAGGTTTCCCATAGACACACAAAAGGAGCATGGCTAGCTATGTAGGGATGATTCATCCAACCTCTAGCAGATACAGTAGCCAGTATGTGACGTGGGTATAACATTTGTGACAAATTCATGCAGAAAGCCGCAGCGTACATGCACGGTATAGTTTGGAATATTTCTACAGATTTGGCCTACGAGTTATATGGTACTGAGCAGGACACACAATATAGATATAAGAACATAAGTAAAACATATACTGAAATTGCTGGAGTAAGATATAAAAAGTCCATCTATGTTTTACAGGAGATTACAGTGCTTGTGTACATGTTTATTTATTTACTGTATGTCAGCTAAATATTTATTATTTGTTTTGCGCTATGTTTTAGCAGGTGGCAGAGATTTAGGCTCCTTTTCACATATTTACAGGCTTTTATTAGCCCCTCTGTTGTAAAAAATGGGTTCTTTACAGACTTCAGTCAGTAAAGAAGCTAAAATGGTTCCATGGATGACTCATCACAACAACTCTTTGTCATGAACCATCCGTTATCAGGCAGCTCAGTCCAAAATTTTAGTACCCCGCTAGTTATCCCACAGTGCTCTAGGAATCTTTTGCCGTGTATTAAATGTTGATTTGTATAATAAAAAATGTATAAATATAGGAAATAACATTTAAAAACAATAAATAAATCAAATTGATTCAAAACCATTACAGTGTCCCTTTAAGATTGATCAGTTAAAGACATTACCGCATTCTTTCTTTTGAATCATCTGGTAAGACTCCGAGGTCAGTGCAATGGCCTCTTCTGTTCACCGTGTGCTGCACTCTTGATGCCAGCTGCAAGTTGCTTGGTAGGACATGGCTGGGGGACACGGTGCAGAGGTGATGGATTGTTTGATGTGCAGCAGATCTGGAACAGAACAATAAAAGTCTAAAAATGAATATAAATTGTAAGGAAGCATTGATTCAATCCAAATGAAATAATGAAACGGCTTTTGTGATCACTTTATGAGGTCCAATTAATCCGTGGAGTCAATTTCTCAGCTAACCAATTTGAGCTTCCTTACAAAACATTTTACTACATTCAGTTTGCTGGAATAGCACAGTCATCACATGGAGAATTAACTACCATCACTTCCTCTGCAACCGTATTAAAGAGAATGTATAGCGCATTTGTATCTTCTTATATACATTATGGTCAGTGCTAAATTATACCATTTTAAAAAATATTTTACTTATAGATTTATGAAATATTGTATATGAATATTACGTATTTTCAAATGTAGCCAGCAGGTGGAGCCTTAGGCTCCCTATTTTCGACCTCTGTACCTCCTGTTTGCTTTCTACAGAGCCCAATAGCTCAAGCTGAAATTTACACTCACAAGTAGTATGCAGTGAGACCTAACCTTGCGTGATTGCACAATGCTTCAATCGCATGCAGTTGATCGCTACATGATGCTACTATATGCTAATTGCTTACTCCATAGAGATATATTTGTTCTGTGTACTAATTAATTGCCACATCTGTTGATTAATTGCTATCAGCACGGCTGAGCTATTAGGAATCTCGAGTGTAGCTCTAACCTAATGAGGTGACAATTGGTTAAAAAGGAACTAAACTCTGGAAGCTTTGACCAACAAAGGCAGGAAGAAGGCAAATGACTAGTCACCAGTATTCCCTGTGGTCTCCCTGCAGATGATCTTTTCCCAGATACTGACTTATCATGCCTTATTCTGCACTGTGTCTCGGTATGGAGGAAGCCATCTTGGTAGAGGAGGCTTTGCTTCTTCATGTCAGAGCCTCCTGCAAGAGAACAGTGAGCAGAACAGTAGAGACATCACCAAATCTCACTGCAAATCTCCCGTGACTAACAGTAAGATGCAGCAGTACCTTAGATCTCACACTGCAGATATACAGCGGTAGACACAGGAGTGCCTAGGGACCCCCCAAGAAGTACACTGACATTTTCAGAAGTACAGATGCTCCTCGCTTAACGACTTACCTGTTTTGCGACCACTCGCACTTACGACCGACCTCCGAGCTACCTCCGACCTCGTGCGCCAGCATCAGTGCGACGTGTCGCCGGGGGAAGTGACGTCCTCCAATCTTCACTGCGGGTCCCAGTGAGTAATTTCATTGCCCGATGTACAGTACACTGTTCGGTACTGTACATCTGCAACGCTATAGAGTACTGTACTAATGCAGTACAGTACTGTATAGAGTTCCTCGCTTAACGACCAATCCGTTTAACGACCTGGTCGTAGGAACGGAACTCGTAGGAACGGAAATGTACACATTTTTCAGGATAGTGCTTAGGGACAATTAACATTTCTAAATCTTTCCTACAACAAACCAAATCTTTTTATGTGCATATCCACTTTAAATCTTTCACTAGCAATATAATAAAATCACCCATGTAGTGTAGCTTAGATGAAGTTTGGGAAAAATTCTTATTTTTATGTATTGTTAGAAAAGCAACTACTTATTTAGACTACAATCTGCCACTTTGCCGGTAATAAAGGTAATGGTTGGGACCTCTAAATTGATCAATAAAAAGCACGGTGCCACAAAAATAAACAATTTTAAAACTGAATAGTAAATAGCATTTACGGAGCCTGAAGCATTCCACTAATGTCTAGTGTTTTCCTTCTAGTGGAAACCATATAGCTGGCCTCAACTGGGATGTCACCCTGTCACCCGAGTCCTTTCTCTTAATGACAAGGCAGGAGCGTCTACAATTGGCACAGTCAGCCTGACAGCTGCCCCGGGAAGTTTCCTCATTGGCAAACATTCCCAAAAGTCTATCATCAGAAAAAAAACAAAAGTTGTTTTTGGTATGTTGCAGGTAAAAAGGTGCATGTTTTTACAGCCTCACGTCTCCCCGCTCCAGCTATTTATCATTCTTTTTGTGTGAAGACAGAGGAGTGCTGTAGCTCTGTGTGTGGCCGATCTCTCCAGAATGCACAGCAGAAAAATAGTTTTTGCTTTGTGAGTGCGGAGCGGGAGTGGTGGAAATGTCAGTGAATTGATAATATGACAGTAAGCATATACTGAGGAAATGGAAGGGGGCTGCCATTGTCTCTGCTGATATTTGTGTAAAATCTGACCTAGCTGAAGTCTACCACAGATTACTGCAGATGAGTAAGGACATATACAGGGTCACCTAAATGCCAAGGTGACTGCTTTAGAAAAGCAGGCCTCCTTCTAGGAGTCTTGGAGTGACTTAATGAAAGCACTTTATTGGTTCATAAAGTTCAAAGACTATTGTTCAAAAATCCTATTCTACTCGAGCCAAGAAATATTTGGAATTGATCTCTTACTAGCTAATGATGTACTACTGTTAAAGGGCACATATATCTGAATTAAAGTTTATTTTACATAAGAGATCATTTAACCCTTTCGCTGCCAAAGACGTACGTCGTACAGAGCTACAAAAGTGCTTCCAGCTGGCCAGCTCAGTACGTCGTACGGACCTGGCATTTACAGTTCTACTATAAGCTGATGGTCGCCTTAGCGACCATCAGTGAAAAAATTGCAGAAAATTCAAAAATGGCTTGGCCAGCTGATTTGAAAAATGTTCCGGAGGGCTTGGCAGCGAAAGGGTTAAAGGTTAAGTTCACCTTTAGGACCATGTTTCATGCTATACTCACATTCCATGATACATCCATACAAGGACCACCCCATCCCCCTCCCCCATGCCCCACTTACTTGGATCATGGGGTTCTTCTCACGGCAGGCTGCTGCTGTAATTTGAATTTGGTGCGGCTGTGCACGGCTCCTGTCCTTTGACAGGATCTGTGAATGGCGACACTTCAAATCCCATTAGCCACTGCAGAAGAGGGTCTTGTAGTTTTCAATGCAATACAAGTGTGGTGACGTCACCGCACTAGTAGTCAATTTATTCTTCCACCTTTCCATGTTCCTGAATGTCAGTACCAAGGTACAGACATAGACAAAACGAAGAGTCTGCAGGAGCCAAAGTATTGCTCCTGTGATCTACTGATTATCTTTACAATTCTATACTGGCACCAATGCAAACAAAAAATGTATAAATGCACATTTTGTCTTTTATGAAGAAGTGTGCATTAATTATTGTTTCTCAAAAAGGACGCTGCTGATAACTTCCCAAAAGCCTCCCAGATGATGACAAGCTCTGCCAATAGTTGCTGGGACTGAAGGGTGTTGCTGTTAATGACTTGATTGGTCCGTTCTCGTTCTAGAACGTGCTACCAATATGATAGCTTGAGCGTGATAGTCTGTCATTAGAAACATTCCTGTCCTTTTTTTTTTTATTGAATACTGGATGTAACACATTTGTCCACTAAACAATAATAGCAGAATCTGGAGCGTTTTCTAAGTTACCTTCAACTCCCTTACATTTAAAGAAGAAACTTCTATACAGGAACATATGGAGGCTGTCATTACTGGCCTCACCTTCTGAAAATACTACTTGCCTGGCAATATATCTGATCCAATTACTTTACTGTTTGTAAAGTAAGGGAGGTAATGCTTCTGGCTCATGTATTTCTGGGCAAAAGAGCATGTTTAGTACATGCAGATTTCCCCGTGTTTTATTTTTACATTTTACAAACATTGCAAGTACAGAAAAATGTCTGCTAACTTGTTAGTGGTCCAGAGAACCTCTGCCTTTCTGTTTGACTTGACAACAGTGGCTTTGCTGCATAGTATTGTTCACAGCCCTGCCCAGTTTACTTTTGCTGGACTACAGAACACCTCCTTTGCCTCATCCCCATAACATAAGGGAGTAGTGTTCTCTAGTCCAGCAGAGAAGAGCTAAGACAGGGATGATAACACTGATGGAATTTTAGCCAGAAAAATGTATTTTAGCCAGAAAGAGCCAACCAGCATGTTCAGAGGAAGGTCAGTAATAATAGCCTAAAATCTTAGGACATATTTATTTATTACAGAAATTTATATAGCACCGCCAATTTACGCAGAGCTGTACATAGTTGTACATTCACATCAGTCACTGTCTTCAGGGAGTTTACAATCTAAGGTCCCAATCGCACATGCACACATATACACACACAGGGCCAATTAACCTTCAAGCATGCCTTTGGAGTATGGAAGGAAACATGCAAACTATTTGTACATAGTGTCCTGACCAGGATTTGAACTGGGGACCCCCAGTGCTGCAAGGCAGAAGTGCCAACCACTACGCCATTGTGCTGCCATGCTAATATCAACTACATTTCTCAGTCAGCAGCTCCTAAGCCTCAGTACTAGACATGGAGGCCAATCCATAATGGTGCCAAGCCAATAGCAGCATTCCTTTTGGAAGAGTACATTTGCATACATTTCCAAGAGACAACTACCAGAAGTCTCCCTATTTCAGCATTGTACTCTAGTAAATACATTTGTAAAAAGACAATATCTTTTATTTACCTAAACTAATTTAAATACATTTACAGAAACTCTGATTATGGATACTGATTGCATAGGTACCTGTCCCTCATTTGGTTTACAATAGTATACAAAAAGTTCCAAATCAGCCAGCCAAGGGTAGGACAAACAATTTTGTAAAAAAAAAAGGTAACACTAAACAGTGAGAGTAGACATGAAGCAACGGGTCAGAAGATCTACTTATCCCTGATCCTTAGCCCACTTATAATAATTACTCAGTTCTCGGTTTCCAGGTGGCAAGAAGAGCCACAGGAGGGTGTGTCTTGGCTGTCTCCCGTCTTGTCAGTGGCACTGCATCATCCCCTTTTACATGAATGATGTCCGAGATGGTGACCTGGAGAAAGACAATGCAGTCAAGACAAAGGATTCAGAGGTTTAAAAAGGGAAAACAAGAAATTTCCAATCGGTAAAAATACAAACAGTTGTTCTTTCAGCGCCTAGTAATTACTAGCCCTGCCCCTCCTTCTGAACACAGCCAGGCAGTCGCCACTACTCACAAAAGCTATCTGACCCTCAGTGTCTGCTTTACAAATAGTCTACATAAATAGTATACAAAAAGACTATCGTACGCAGTGCGACAGAAGTGCATATTGCCTGACTCACTGAAAAGTATATGTAAGCGTATATGTATGTATATATACATATATATATATATATAACACATATATATATATAACACATATATATATATATATATATACACACACACACACAGTACTGTGAAAACGTTTTAGGCAGAATGCTTTCAGAAATAAAAGTGCCATTAGTTTATTTTTATCAATGAACAAAATGGAAAGTAAATGAACAGAAGAGAAATCCATAAGAAATCAATATTTGGTGTGACCACTCTTTGCCTTCAAAACAGCATCAATTCTTCTAGGTACACTTGCACAGTTTTTGAAGGAACTCGGCAGGTAGGTTGCTCCAAACATCTTGGAGAACTAACCACAGATCTTCTGTGAATGTAGGCTGCCACAAATCCTTCTGTCTCTTCATGTAATCCGAGACAGACTCGATGTTGAGATCAGGGCTCTGTGGGGGACAAACCATCACTTCCAGGACTCCTTGTTCTTCTTTACGCTGAACTTAGTTCTTAATGACATTGGCTGTATGTTTGGGGTCGTTGTCCTGCTGCAGAATAAATTTGGGGCCAATCACACGCCTCTCTGATGGTATGGCATGATAGATAAGTATCTGCTTGTATTTCTTAGCATTGAGGACACCATTGATTCTGACCAAATCTCCAGCTCCATTGGTAGAAATGCAGCCCCAGACTTGCAAGGAGCCCCCACCACTGTTCTGCAGACATTCATTATTGTACCGCTCTCCAGCCCTTCAGCAAACAAACTGCCTCCCGCTACAGCCAAATATTTTACATTTTCCTGCACCCCAGTTCCTATGTTTTCATGCATAGTTGAGTCGCTTAGCCTTGTTTACACAGCGGAGGTATGGCTTTTTGGACGCAGAAAAATGGCAGCAGGTGCTCTGGACTGATGAGTCACAATTTGAAATATTTGGCTGTAGCAGGAGGCAGTTTGTTTGCCAAAGGGCTGGATAGTGGTACAATTATGTGTGTCTGCGGGCAACAGTGAAGCATGGTGGAGGTTCCTTGCAAGTCTGGGGCTGCATTTCTGCTAAACTGTGTGCAAGTGTACCTAGAAGAAATGAAGAATTGATACTCTTTTGAAGGCAAAGAGTGGTCACACCAAAAATTGATTTGATTTGGATTTCTCTTCTGTTCATTTACTTCCCATTTTGTTAATTGATAAAAAATAAACTAATAACACTTTTGTTGCCGAAAGCATTCTTACTTTACAGTATTTTTTCATACCTGCCAAAAACTGTT